CTCAAGAAAGACCCTGTGAAGTTCCTAGGCCTAGGACCAACAAAGGCAATATTTATCCATTCCGACATATGAAACCTCACAATGTGGCAATAGGCACAAGCCCAGATTTCTTAAAAGGAAAATAAATGGTTTGGGGCAAATTCATAAAGGATAGGTGTGTCAAAGGCTATTTAGTAGGGAGGGTAGTTAAATGGAGGATCCTTAACACTGGTCTCAGTGGGACTCTTGTCTTAGCCAGCCCTGCAATTCTGATCATCTTACTTTAACATTTGCTGAGGAAAGACTGTGCCAAAGGAATCCTGGTAGGGATCATTGCAAGCGTCCCTCGCTTCTTGGAATTTTCACAGCCTGAGAAGTTCATAATGTGAACTAGACATTTCTGGTTGTTTTGGAGAGGTGGGGTGGGGAGAATAAGCACTGCTTGCCATTCAAAAAATAAATATTGTAGAAACTCCACATCAGCTCACCTCTGCCTTTGCCCCCACTCTGGGCTTATTCGCACTTTTTGCCCTGCTCTTTCCAGGCACGGGTTCACGCTTCAAAGCTTTGTGTCTATTTCTGCAGTAAAGGGAGGGTTTTCATGGGGCAAAGTACAGGGCGAAAAAAGTGCGCTCAGACACGCAGCTTTAAAGCTCAGACCTGAGCCTGGAAAGAGGCGGGGGGGGGGGGGGGAATGGCTATGAAAGTGCCTGGAAAGCGTGGAGGAAAAGTAGGTATAGATAAGCCCTCTGACAGCCAAACTAGACATGAGGGAACCAATGGCTATGGCTGCCGCCACCAGCTTTTTCAAAACTTTAAATGCACACGCCTTTTTCCATATCCCATTATTCCAAACGGCTACCATGAGCCGTTTTCTGCCCCTCCTTTCTCCAGCTTCTCCAATAGTTTCTGGGGAAACAGGGTTTCCTCATAAAGACAAGACGTACTGGAGTGACAACCCACTATTTTATTTCAATACATTTATATCCCATCTTTCTTCCATCATGGAACTCACAAGCAGCCTCCCAGCAGGTCGCCCAATGCAGAACACAGGCCAGGCCCGGGCCTGCTTAGAGTCACATGCTGTCAAACCAGGCCCTGAGACTACCTTCCCGCCACCATCTCCTCCGTCTCCAAGGGATAAAACACCATCATCATAATAATAATATGAAGTAAAAGAATCCAGGATTGTAGCACAGCTGTGATTAGGCAGCAGTGCAGCCGCTCATAAACAAGAGGTAGCAGCAAAGAGAGGGATTCACGCTCTGACTCAGGTTCTGTTTCACCTCAAGAATGCAGTTTGTTTTGTACCCATTTGAAAAATTGCCTTGCTAAAACTGCCGTAATTTTCCCCACGGGCTGCTGCTGAAAGAACCCCGCAACAGTCCTGCAATACAGTCCACTTGTAGTACTTCAGGCTAGAACTGAGGCCAAGGTTGGTGGGATTTCCAGTCCAAAGCCCTCAGCTTGAAACAAAGGTCAGCTCTGCTTAAAATGCCACCCTGAAATCTTAGTTGTAGTACTCAGTTGCATGCTGGCACATGTGGGCCACTGAATGACATGCAACTGCACCGTGCTTTTAAATGTTTAAATAAATATTTTAAAAAAACATTTTCCCCTGCAGAAGAGGCCCACTGAAAAACTGTGAACTCCCATCTTTACTGTCCCATTGTTAAATACAATAAAGCCCCAGATTTCCCCATTTTTTTCCACAGAAGCCCATTACTGCAGGGATAACTGGGGGAATGCCATTTGGCATTTAATATCAGCTCAGAAGCTGGACAGTGTTAAATTGCCACACCACTCCAAGTATGTTTTTCATCCTAAAGGGAGTGCAGTGTACCAGTTAGACAGTCAGACGAAGACCTGAGAGAGAGATGTTTTAAATGTCCCCTCGGCCATGCAGCTCACTGTGAGGAGTCTCTCAGCCTGACTTACTTCACAGGATTGCTGTGAGGATAAAACAAGGGAGGGAGAAACATGTATGTTCTTCCACTCCATCTCCTTTCATCCCCAACCAGTACGGCCATTGTCCAGATATGACAGGAGTTGTAGTCCAACATCTAGAGGACACCTTTGCTGGCCACCCTTGGCGTAGAGAAGTGGGGAGGGGGCAAAGACGTTCAGGAAGCTGAATCTTGCATCTACTAATATTGGCCTTCATTCCCAGTTCAGTCAGGACTAGCAGGAGACACACAGACAACAGCTTGCAGGTAGAGCAGGCCCAACTGAGGTGGGCAATAAGACCTAGGGCAAACATTTGTGCATCATGAGCGACGCACCACACAAAATTGAGGTGGCGCACACATGCACACCAGGGGTGGATGTCAATAAGGGACCGCATGCCACCAGGCCTTGAGCCTGCTCAAACTGAGCTACTGAAGGCCAAGGGAGCTGCCAGCACTGAGAAGTGTGATGCAGCGAACATGAGATGGGATAGAGACCGGCCCCCTTGGTGTGTTTCGGCTCCCTACACCCACACCCACCCCAAGAACAAGCTGTTGCAAGAGGGCAAATGATCCTTCTCTCAACCAGCACAGTGAGGCAAGATTCAAGTAGGGGAATTTAAAATGTAGCCTGGAGGTTCAGCTTCTGGGAGCTGTGTGTGTTGTCATTCAACTACACTCCCATTTCTAGGAAAAGGGATAGGGGAGGAGAAGGAACTGAGCCAGCTGGAAGAGAAGGGCTCAAGGCTCGCTTCCTCCCTGGGATTGTCATCATGTGCTGGGCAGCAAACCACATTGAGCCTCCTTGTCAGGGGCAGCCATCAAAGAATTTGGGGGAGCTGTTGAGGCAGCTCCAAAACAGAGGAGTTCAGGGTCTGAATGTGAGAAATCAACAGAGACAAGTTGGGTTTGGGGAGGCTGGAAGCCAGTGCTCAAAACCAACTTTTTTGGGCTGGGGGTGGAGGGGAGTGTTTAAAAAAAACCCACTCCCCACTGTCCACAATAAATGTGTTCTTTAAAAACACACATTTTGTCAGAGAGAGGGAGGAAAAACACATCCTGCCGTTAAAAAAAGCAGGGGGACACCTCCCTCCTGCCAAGGCTCCTGGCCAGAATCACCCTCAACAGGGAGAGAAAGAACAGGCCCTCGATTGAGAGCTCCTCTCAACTGCCCTGCCAGGAAGGCTGCCCAAAGAGAGTTTTAAAGGTTACTCCTGGCTAGGATCCGGCTTTCGCCATGATAAATCACCTGGCAGGGCCTGGGAAAACAGATCCACCACTGCACAAACACCAACCCAAGACTAGGGGCAGGGAGGGGGAGGGAGAGAAAGAGCAAAAACTTTCCACTTTGGCTGTGTGCTTTGGAAGACTGGGCAGCTACCTGTAGCGCCGTCCACATGGCCTTTGGGCTGCTTCCCTCGTGCAAAAATGAAGTTTAACATGGTGGCCACACTGGTTTTTCAGGAGGATGTGACAGGGCAGTTTTTTGGATGATAGTTATGAGAAAAACAGGGCAAGAACAGGAGCAATGAATACACCCAAGATGCCTGACAGAAGTGATCAAAGGGAGACACACAGAAACTTTGTTCAGAACCAGCTTCATGAGACTGTGTGTGTGTTTTGGGAGGAAGCAGTTGCATGCAGTCAGTGGACAACGGAGACTAGGCTAGTCCCCTGAATGTTCCTGGTAAATTAGAGTACAGTACAGTCATACCTCAAGTTACGTTTGCTTCATGTTACGTTTTTTCAGGTTGCGTCCCGCAGCGACTGGGAAGTACTGGAAAGGGTTACTTCCGGGTTTCACTGCTTGCACCTGCGAAGAAGCACTAAATCGCGCTGTGCACCTTCAGGTTGCGCTCTTTTCATGTTGCGAATGGGCCTCCGGAACGGATCCCATTCGCAACCAGAGGTACCACTGTATTAAAGTATTGAAAGTCTGGCGCCTCCTTCCCAAAGCCCGGGAAGCTTCTGCCCGGCTTAGAGAAGTGTGATGTTCATGCGCACGACATTCCCTTCTCCACCCCACCCCTGGCCATCACCCTCACAAGCTGGAGCCTCTGGTCCCAACTGTTCCCCTACAAGTAGTTTCACCGCATGCCACTGGGGCGGGGGGAGGGAGAGGTTCCTTTCATGCCCAGCTTCTGGCTTTCCAGGAGGACCTGGCCAGCCACAGGCTCTTGATCCAGCAGGGCTTTTTGTGTTCTCTCTACACACACACCCCTTCTTCACTTGTCCTACAGCACTGAAGAGGAAAGTGTCAGTCTGCAAGCCATCAAGAAAACCAAGGAGGCACACACTCTCCCCTGCAAAAACACCTGGTGCTAGCGAGGGGGGAAGCAGGACCTCTCCTCTGACCTGCTGGGGGTGGTGGGGAGGCCTTTAGCTTTATTGCTCCTGCCTCAAGGATGACTGAGCCATCCTGCTCCTTGTACGTTTGAGGCACAAGTGCTCTGAGTCTCTTTCTGTCCCTCAGCCTGAAGACCCTTGTCATCTACATGGCAACTCTCCACACTCTCTTTCTTTCAGAACCCTTCTACTTCCTCAGCTTAATTCTTCAAACTATTCCTTTCTTCCAGGGGACGGGACGCTTTCCCTAGCACTCCTTTATTCCATCTCCACTCACTCCTCCCTCAAAGCCTGCTCCCTCTTCACTTTTTTCCTTTTTCGAAGTGCATTGTTCTCTTTGCCCAGGAAAGCCACTTACAGACACAAGCTGCGTCCCTTCTGTGGCCATGGTTTTGGCACCAAGTGAGGCACTGAACACAGTAGCAACTTGTTGCTCAAGTCCTTGGCAGACCTTAGGAGGCGGAAGTTGAGTGCAAAAGGACAAAGACCAGAACCTTGACCGTAACCAGGGTGGGACTCAGGAGCCGGCAGACCAGAAAGCAGGCATTTTTTGGCCACAGAAACAAGTCAGCAGGGGTGGGGCTTTCAGTTTAGTCCATCAGAAGAACCCAAACGTCCCCCGCTCTTCATTAATCCAGAACACAGAATTCAGGGCTACAAGATCAATTTCCCCTTGCTCTGTTTTTTTTAATCCATTACTCCCATTTCACTCAGAGGCCACACTGAAAGCTTTGTTCTACCAGAGTTTTAATGAGAAGCTTTGTACAGACACCTTGTCCTTAATATATATTATAAAAAAAATACAGAGATTACGGACACAGAGGAGATCTTCCCCATCACAGCCAGATGGTATCAACAGGAGCACATAAGCACCACACATAATGCTCCACTCATGCTCCCTTCAGGCTTTGGATGGAGTAAGTGAAACTACCCATAGTCTGGGGGAGCAAGTGCAGCTAAAAGACAGCAGGACAGCCTTAGAGCACATGCTGAAATAGACCCAGCCAACCCTCGCCACCATGAAATGCTTCTGGCCCTGGTAGCCCAGCCCCAACTGCCTCCCCAGAGAGACAGACTTTGTCTTCCTCTTCCTCCTCTCCTCCACCTGTGAGAAACAGTCAAGCAGCAGTATTGTTCTGGTAAGTTCACATCCAGTCTCTTTATTGGGGGGGGGGGGCAGGGGCACAAGGATAAAGAGAGTTAGCAGTCCACTCAAAAGCTATATCACTGAAGGGGGGTGCAGGACGGGGAAGGAGCAAATAATGGTGGATGAACAGATCACCCAAACCCATGCCCAGAAAGTGAGGGGAGGGGGCTCAGCCAGACTGCCCCCAGCCCCATGAAAAACATGAGTGTACAGCAACCAGGTGGAGACTGGCCAGAACCCCCAATATGCAGCAGGGGAATCATTCTTCTTTCTTGTCTCTCGGTCCATCGCAGGCCTCCTGGGAGAAACAAGGAGGGGGGGGGGACAACATGGCGTTATATAAGAGGAGAATTATTTCATTCAAATGTATTTTTAAGCCACGTTTTCGACAAGCCAGTGCAAAGTGGCTTAACACAGTTAACTTCTCCATTTTACACGCTTTAGGGACAGAGTTGTCTTGTTTCCCCATGCTTTACCCCTCCCCCCTTTTCAAAAGCTGCAGCCAAGTAAATAACACTAAATTCTGCAAGTGGTTTATTTTTGTGCTGGTTATGGGGAGGAGCCAGAAGTTATGCAGTGCACTAAGGGCCCCACGGCTCAAGCCACAGAATTCTCATTCCGTCATCACCTTTGGCTTCTGAGAGGACAGCAAACACACACTTCCAGGCATGTGTTGCTGCCATTATGGCCTGGAAATCAGCTTTAAGTGAAGATTCCCAGGAAACAAAATTCTTTATTGTCCTTTGCCACATGCTGCGCTTGTTACTTTTGCAGGATAAGGCAGACACATAGTTTTGGATTTGGAGTTTCACAGAACTCTGCAGACAGCAGAGCAAGGTAGCAAGTGGACACTTTGCAGCAGAAAACGAACTACAAGTCCATTGTCATTTCAGGCAGATAATAAGCAAGTCACAAGGCCTTGCATGCCCAAATGTACACAACAGATTTGACTCCCTGCTGGCCGATGACGCAATATCTCCATTCAAGCCATTGTCCTTTGTATTCTGCAAGGTCATAAGCTGCTCATTCTTAGGCACATCATTCAAGGCTGCTGCATTTGTTTTGCTTCTGTGCTGTACATGCCTAATGCTGGTCAGTGTGTGCACCAGCCACATGAAAGGCAGGTTCTGTGAATGTATTTCCACAGCAGCCAGTGGCGATTCCCTACCCTGACCAGTTAAGGATGCTCAAAAATCAAGGCTGTTTGCATTCACCTTGTGAATTTATGGCTCACGTGACTTCCCCATTCACAGCTCAGTCTTAGCCCCAGGCATCTTGAGACACACATATCTCCACAAATTCCACAAGGCTGAACCACGTGGCTGAAAGGATATCATCTACTGCTACTCCACGCAGTAATGGCAACTTGAGGGGCAAATAGGCATTCTCAACAGTCCTTCTGAAAATACAGTTTTGCCTTAGCAGAAATGCTGCCCCCACCCCTGCCTCCACAGATGGCCAGGGACTTCAATGCAATTCTATCCTGTGCCCAAGTGCAGAGCTCAATTGTCTAGGAGGGACAGCAGCTGCAGTAGCAACATTCTGCCTCTCTGCCAACTAGTCAGCCCTTAGCACTGCAATCCTACCCAAGGGGGAGGGATCTGCTTACACAGCCCAAGGAGGGGGAAGACCACCCAGCTCCCTACAGGAATGCAACCTGGAGAAAGCTGCCCAGAATGGCCACGAAGGCAAATAGCTGCATGAAGCAAAACAAACTAACAGTAGCTACGGCCCACAACACTCCTACCAAGCTAAGCAGATGCCAGAAATCGCCAGCTAACACAGGTTCAGATACCGTCCTGGATTCTGCTGCCCATTCAGAATCCCGTCTTCCTCCTCCTCACCCTCCACCCTGCAAATTCTCCCTTTGAAGGGCTGCGGTAGTGCTCAACTGAAGTAGAGCAGAAAGGCCAATGCACCCCTAATTTTGATGTCCGGGCAAGATGCAGAGCAGTCTATCAGCACCCTGTACAGGGGACCATCATCCCTGACCTTTGGCGATGCTGGCTGGGGCTGAAGCTCAACAGTATCTAGAGCGAACCATGCCAGCCTGCAGTACAGGGTGCTTTGGAGTATGATGGCAGCAAAGATGAAGAGCTGTGCGTGAAATATTAGCTCAGCAGGATACCTCACTGCAGAGAGGAGTTCCCACGCACTGTTTAGCATTTGCCGCCACTTAGTTCTCCCCTCCCTTTGAAAACATGCTTCGAACAGAGTTCCCAAGACACCAGCCGAGAATGCTGCTGTTTGCACCCACACCTCCTCAACATGGCCTTCCCCATCCTGGTGCCTTCTAGAAGGCTGTGCTGGGGCTCATGGGAGGGCACCAGGTTGGGGAAGGCAGCCTTAAGGAAAGGCCAACATGAGAGCCTCCAATCACCACCCAGGAACAATGCTCAAGGGCATGTGAGTAGCTGCAAAGGTCCCTACCCTCCTCCTCCCAGGGCAAGGACATCTCTGCTTCCCTAGGTACCCAAAGGCACACTGGCGCTTTAGAAACAGGAGGGTGCCATTCCTCAGCAGTGCCATCCTGCAGAGCCATCAGAATAGCAACAACACTGAGATCCTATTTTTAAGCAGCTGGCAAGGCACACTGTTACTGAGTCTTGGCAGCCGGATCACACCAGCTCTGGGGAGGGGAGGGGGAAAGCAGGTGGTTGCAGCACACAGGCAAAGCCAAGACAGAGCTCAGTAAGGACTTGTGGGCTGAAGGGAGCATGGGGATGAGAAGGGATTGGAATGAGGATATTCAGAGCAACGCCCATTGCAATCCAGAAAGATGCTGCGTGGGGGGTAATTAAGCCCTGGAGGCAGGTGGCTTACTCAGCATGGGTTACAACAGAACCTTGAAACTTTTTTTTTTATCATCCTAAGACTAAGAAAGAAGAGGCGGTTGCTGTCCCTGTCCAACCCACCCAAGCTCCACCATGGAGCAGAGAGCAAGCAAAACGCAGAAGACGCGGCTCATGCAAACTGTCTGGAGCCCAGTCAAGCCTTCCAGAACCACCCTCCCCAACTGCAAACTTCTAGAGCGAAAGGGACAAACCCATGGTCACTAGCTATGGGAGAACTGTGCAAGCAATCAGGTGCATTCCCCAAGGGAGGCTTCCTGGAATGCCCAATGGGGACTATGGCTGTGGACACACCACACAAATAAAGCACAGAGATCCCCTCAAAGAATCCTGGGAGCTGTAGTTTACTCCTCACAGAATTACGATTCCCAGTGCCGATGACAAGCCACAGTCCCCAGGATGCTTTGGGGGAAGCCATGCGCTTTAAACGCAAGGTGTGTACGCAGCCTTGGATAACAAGAGGGGCTGGTTAAGCATGGGAATTGGGAAGGGGGCCATCACAAGATTGTGACTGAAGGGGGGGGGGAATATTTTCCGAATTGCCAGTAAGCTTCTGGAGAGGACAGTGACACACAGAGAAACCTCCTCCTAAGATCTACTAGAAAATATCATTTGGTCCCAAAACAATACTTGGGAGGCTGTTCCTGAGGTTTCCCACCTCTGATAACCAGACCATAGCTGTCAACTTTCCCTTTTTTGGCAGGAAATTCCCTTATTCCAGCGCCGTTTCCCGCTGCTATCCCGGATTGTTAGATATCCCGTAGACTGTCCCCAGGACAGGTGAGGCTGCTGATGCCTTATTTTCAAATCTGAAAGTTGATATCTATGAACCAGACATCACTATCCCAGTCCCAAACTGCTGTTAATGAACTTGTATATAGTCCTTCACTCCTGAGTTTAAGTCCAGTCTGGGGAAAAGAAAAACATCCTCCACATCTCTGCAGGCAGTGCTGCCTCAAGTCTTGTTTTAAAACCCAAGCAGTGAGGGGCCCAGCCCCTTCCGCGCTTCCTTGAGGTGGTGCCAGGCCCAGCATTGTTCCTCCCCGCCCACCTGTTATCAGCTCCCAGGTGAGGCAGCGTCTTGTGACCTGCTGCTTACGTGCAGAGAGAAACGTGGAGGGTTGTTTACCGGGCAAGATTCCCAGGCGCTGCCAAGATCCTCCCCCTGGCTGGTACTCCGCGAATGGGAGAGGCTGGAGTAAAAAACCCGCAACCAAGGCTGGGCAGCTTCTCTCAGCCACTGTGTGCAGATTAGGTTACCCTGGCAACGAAAGCTGGATTATTTTTATACGTGTGTGTGTGTATGCTGTGTTTGTTGTGGGCTGGCCATTTAAACCTAGCCAACCAGTGACACAGGGTAGGAGAGAAGGCGGGTCTGCGGCAGAAGACAGCTGTAATCCAACAGATTCAAAGCCCTCCCTTAAGAATGCAGAAAGAAGCTCCATTAATGTACCAAAGCAACTCATCAACATAATCACACACACACACACCCAAAAAATAAAAGACCGACTACTCCTTTCTTCCTGCTACAGGGGTGGCGACTTTCGGGGGACCCTGAGAAGGGGGAGGTTCAGAAGCACCCACTGTATGCACAAATGTGAAACCTCCTGCAACACATTCAAGGACTGGAAGGATGTATGTTCTTGAAGGTAGAGACTGTCAGAGAAGATAGAGAAGAGGAGGTTAAGGGGTGATGTGATAGCCATGTTCAAATATATAAAAGGATGTCACATAGAGGAGGAAGAAAGGTTGTTTTCTGCTGCTCCAGAGAAGCAGACACGGAGCAATGGATCCAAACTACAAGAAAGAAGATTCCACCTAAACATTAGGAAGAACTTCCTGACAGTAAGAGCTGTTTGACAGTGGAATTTGCTGCCAAGGAGTGTGGTGGAGTCTCCTTCTTTGGAGGTCTTTAAGCAGAGGCTTGACAACCATATGTCAGGAGTGCTCTGATGGTGTTTCCTGCTTGGCAGGGGGTTGGACTCGACGGCCCTTGTGGTCTCTTTCAACTCTATGATTCTATGATTCTGTCAGCAACAAGATTCCAGAACTTGTGGAAGGCTCTTGCTAACTTTTAAGGATATCTGATGCACAGTCAAAAGGTTTGGGGTGCAAGGGGTGGGGGTGGGGGAAGAGAGCACACCCCTGAGGAGGTAATCATGGGTTGTAGGACTAGAAGCAGCAGGGACACAGCTCCTGCTTTCCCTGAAAGCTTAAACAACGGCAAGACACGCATTTATTTTCAGTTACAGCTGAAACTTCAGAAGACTCCCCAGCTGCCCTCATCTGGAGGAAGATTTGTTCACAAAACTGGCTTTGCCCAGCAGGAGTGACCATGCTGGACTCACCACCTCACACACAGCTGAAATCCAACAAGGAACAAAGCACAGGGCAAGAAAAAAGGAGGTTTTATTTGGGGTGCCTCCCTCTCAACCATTGTAAGGGCCGACCGCAGCCGAAACCTTACTTCTTGAGCGTCACCCCATTCTTCCCTTATTTATGCATTCTGGTAACTGGGAAGCCACCTCTCTTTCAAGGAGGAATGTCCACAGGACACTCAAGTGAAGGCTGGAATGAGGAGCCCCCCCCCCCCGAAGCTGGGGAAAAGAGGAAGACCAAGAAGCTTCCTTCTCTTAAAACCAAGCAGATTGGCCTTCTGCAACCAGGTGTCCTCCAGATCTTCTTGGGGTCCCACCAGCCCCAACCAGCCTGGCCAATGGTTAGGGATGATGGGGACTGTAGACCGACAATATCTGAAGGACACCAGGCTGGGGAAGGCTGGCATCGACGACCCTCACATTCCCAGAGCAGCCACAGTACTCATGGGACAAACACTCTCTCTTTTTTCTTTTTTTAAAGGATTTTTGAGCCCCAAACCCCTCATCACACCACCACCACTGCCTTCTTCTTGCCCTGCCCTAGAACACAAACACCACTGCTCTTCCTGGAGCAAAACACCAGCTCAAGCTGGAACCCGTAGAAGCCAGGGAGAGGACCGGTTTTTAGAGTTTTGGAATAGCCCATCCAGACACAACAGTTGCCTCATGCAGGTGCCAGCCAGGCCCCTCTTGACTCCCTCCCACCTCAGAACAGATATTTGCAACCCCACTTCCCTCCCCTGGCACCTGGAGCTTGGTGTGTTCATGCATCAGTCTGTCATACTCCTTGGTCAGTCCTTCAGCCTGTTTGCGCATAGCCAGGGCCTCGTTCTCTGCCTTTTCCAGGGCTGGGGGGTAAAGGGGGAAGAAAAGCACAGGTTAGAGCAATCTCTACACATCCCAACTGACCCAGATAATCAGGCAACAGCAAGCCAAGTCACATGCATGTGTCTGTGTGTAAAAAATGGATCACTGCAGATCCTGGTTTTCCAGGAACAGAAAACCACAGACTTTTGGATCAGAGGAGGAGCTGTGATCTTCCACCAAGTTCATTCCTCTGACTTCCAACTCCATGAAAGGACTGAGGTGAGTAGTTTGATTTCTAACACTTACTTAATAAAATTTGTATGCCTGCCTTGATCTAAAGATCATAGGACAGTTTACAAAATAACTTTTTTAAAAAATTTATTTATTCAAAGTTATAACAAAACATATTTTCCAAAAACATATCCTTATTGGCCCCCGGTTTTCCTCCCTCCCCCTCCCCCCACAAAACCCATCCTCCCACCCCACCCCCCGACTTCCCTCAGTTCCAGTCTTTGGTTTCTCCAATAACGCTATTTTCTGCATGTTACAGAATTGTGTAGATCTTCAAACTGTTTAGCTAATTATTATCAGTAAAAAAAATTGTGAATGTTTATTTAAAACCTGCCAAGGAGTCCAGTTCGCTTTGTTGCGTCTTCAAATACTTTGTAAAGGTTCCCATTCATCCTTAAAGTCATAGTTATCCTTGTCCCGTAACCTATATGTCAATTTGCTTGGCCACTTATTTCCCTCTTGGTCTTCACAGTTGAGATCACTGGACAATAAGCTAGGCTGCTTCTCAATTGCCAGTTTGCCCACTGCAGGGTTTGTGCTTGACCACCAGCATAGACAGAATTTTAAAAAGTAACGCTCAAAGACATGGATGGTGGTTCTAGAGTGTAATTAGTACTAGGCAAGCCTGAAATAACTGATTGGATCATGTCACCACAAGCACATTTCAACTATTCTCAATAAGCTCTCATCCAATTTTTTGTTCTGCATTAGGACTGTGCTCCCTGGTCCAAATCACCTCTAACATTCACCAGTGTTTTATTGCGGGAGCGGAGAACCAGAACCGTAACCCAAACAATTCCCTGAGTCACTTCCAGTTCTGCTTCTTAAGATTCCTACAACCTATCATGGGAGGGGAACCTCCAGCCCACACAACAAATCAGAGCCACCAGAGGCCCTGATTGGGCCCACAGGGTAGTTACTGCCACACCTGGAGTCACCTATGACTTCAGGTGTGGTGCAGGTAAAGCCACATCTGCAAAAGAACAATTGGGAGCCTAAAGGTGCACTCTCAGTTGCTCCTTGGCAAGAGGAGCTTGCATTCAGGGCCTTTTGCATGTTGGCCATCAATGGCACAGCAGAGTTTTCCAAGCAGAGCCAATCTGTGCCGAAAGTCGAGCTCGTGGTCAGCGCTGAATTTAAATTTAGTCTGCCAAGTGCAAGCCCCTCTGGGACCAGATCCATTCTGAAGCTTGCATTTGGCGCCAAATGCAAGCTGCACTTCCTGCACTTCAAGGCTCCGGATGCAGACAGTCAGAGAGCAACTGGCGCACATCCCATGATAGCATTAGCATCACTGGAAGAGAGGGACACCCAAGGCTGGTTTTTGTCAGATGCAGACCTGAAAGGATCCTTAAGGAGGACTCAGAGAAAACTGGGAAGATGCTCCTTCCTTCACTTTCCTCACTGGCTTCAAATAGCACATAGTTAAGCTATTCAATTATTTCCCCTGAGAAGTAGTGATGGCTACAATCTTGGACAGCTTTAAAAGAGTTTGTGGAGGATCAGCCTATCCATGACTGCTAGCCATCATGGCCATTTCACTTCCATTGCCAGTTGCTGGAAATCACAATAGGGGAGAGGGCTGCTGTTGAACCCAGGTCCCGCTTGGAGGCTTCCCACAGGGATCTGGTTGGCCACTGAGAGAACAGGATGCTGGAAAAAATGGGCCATTGGCCTGATCCAGCACATGGGACACTTCCCTTGTGGAAGACCACCATGCTAAAGAAACAGAGGGCTTCTGGGCCAGAAGAACAAGTTGTGCCAAATTTGGCAGCTTTTCTGTGGCTTAACAATTAGCACCATTTGGGTGTTAGACTGGAGAGAAGGAACAAAACGCAGCACCCCTTACAACAGCTATAAAAAAAAGAGGTCACACTGGAAGAAGAGACAAGAGATCAGTTCAACTCAGGCATGCACAGCCAAACACCCCCTGCACCCCCCAAAGAAAGAAATCTGAGCCACAAAATAACAATTCAAGAACCTTAAATAATTCAACCAACTTAAAAGGTATATTGAGCACTTCTTGTGTGCCTGGTGTTGCACAGTACACAACCAGTTACAGTCCTGCCTGACCACTGTGCCATTCACATGGGAAGGGGGAGTCAAAGAGAAGCTGGGAATGTTACACAAGCCCACCAAGAACTGAGAAGGTCGGAAGGGCAATTGACACCCAAAACTTCCCAGCTCCAGGATTCCTCCAGCACTGATGTCAACCCCTCTAGTTTGCCAGCCCTGGAAATGAGCCCTGGAGAAGCTGCTCAGACTGGTTGATACTGCAACTGAGAACTGGAGCCCCCCCCCCCCCCGAGTGTGTGTGGGGTTTTTTTTCAAACACATGCAGCATGAGGGGAGAGAGTATCCCATTATGTCATTGCCAAGGTTTTAGAGTAATGTGCAAAGACCCTGCCCTGCTACCCTAAAAAAGCTTGCAACGTTTATTTGGAGTTGGAGTTGTATTGGAGTTGGAGTTCTTTTCACACACAGAATTGGTTTTAAATTGTTGGCGTATCTACCATACAAACAATTATAGTAGACATACAAACAATTTTATTGGAGGACACCTGGAAAATCGTTTGTCTGCTTCCTATGCATCTGGACACTGTGAAGATACCGTAATCCAATTTTGCATTATGGTTCTTGAGGTCAAGTAACGGGTTTTTCATCTATTGGATGCCAATCTGAATCAAGATGGCAGGCTGAATCTTACAAAACAGTGTGGATTTTAACCACTGATTTCAAAATTGCACTCAATTTGATGATGTTTCTTAGCATTCCCAATCATTGTTGGGTATGAGCTTGCCAGTATAATATAGTTTACATACAGAATTGTTTGATTGTCTCTACTATGAAATCAGATCAATATATTTTATGGGAAGCAATTCATCAATTGAATCAAATAAATAAATAAATACATTTGACTGTGGAGGAGACACAGGGAGAGGAGGGGAGGGTTTAGCAGTGGTGAAGTATGGTGCCAACAGCACCAAACAGCAGCATTCCCTTCCCACTAAGTGACTGTGCTCTCACACATCTCCCACCTATTCCAGTGGAGCTTATGCAGGAGAACTTTCCACGTGACTGTGCGCCACAGCTCAGAGCAGCATCACCTATGCTGCTGCCAGAATCAACCACTTCGCAGGAGGCTACCTGGGACCAATGTGAGCAAGTGCCACTACATCAGCCTATGCTGCATGTTAACTGGGACAGGAGAGAGAGGAATGGAGAATTTGTGGTTCTGCTGGACTCCCACCATGCCTGGGCATTGGTCATCAGGCTGGGACTGATGGGAGTTGTGACAAAGAAGGTGTAAAGAAGTCCCAAACCTGCCAGTGTGTGCAGTGCCCAAACATTCAGATTTGAAGACCTGAGTCCACCAATTAGTGGTCCCCATCATCATTTCCCTTTTCAATAACTAAAGACATTGATTTGTAGAGCAAGGAAAACAGCATCCTCACAACTATAGAGAACCAAAGTGTTTACAAACAAACTCTTCAGGGCTTGGTCCATCTATTCCCAAAGTCTGATGCCAAGTGAAGTATTTTTAAGCAGGAGAGGGGGGGGGCAGAACTCTGAGATTGTACATGAGGAAGGCGCATGGCTGTACAGTTCTAGAAGTATAAATAGATGGTGTATCACCCTTTCGTCGGCATCTAGCCCAGATGATCCAGCTGTACACAACTGGGATGTGGGGGGAGAGGGATAGTCCAGGGTCTCTAATAGGTTATGCCCTTTCCCTATAAGTTACTGGGCAGTGGCATCTACCACTCAAGGTCATTTTACAGCCAGGACTGGAGGGGGCATGGGCTAAACATACTCCACCAAGTCTCTCACCTTTCTTTGTGGAGGCCAGCTCATCCTTCAGTTTTTTCACTTCACCCTGCAGTGCTTTACTCTCTTCTTCACCTGCAGCGCCTTTGGTGTCCAGATCTGTTACTTTCACCCCTGCTTGCTGAAGTTGCTGAATGAGAAGAAGGAGAGAAGGTTTGAGGACACAGGAGAAATCAATCCATCAATGAGAAATAGCTTGACACAAGACTTAATGTGTGTGTACAGACAAACCCCTGTCCTGTACATGGTCAGCTGGCTTCTCTCCTGACCCTTTTCCCTAACCTACCTTGCAAAACTTCAGTGTCAACCCATTTCTAGGACAGTTGACACAGCCAAAAATACTAGATAGGCAAACCACTATTGCAGAATCTGAAGAAGCAATTTTGGGATTCCTCTTTAGCTCAGAGACCAGGGGCAGCAGAAGCGGCTGCCTGGAGGACTCCCAAGGAGAGGGAGAGGAGAGGAGAGGCGGCTGAGGGAACGCTCCACAAGGGAGGGTGTTTGAAAAAGTGTGAGAGGCTGCCAGCACTGCAGACAAGGAGTGACATAACTGGGCTCCTGAGCCCCACAGGTGTGCCACAGAAAGAATGCAGTTGTTTAAGGGAGCCACAGGCTCAGAAAGGTTGAAAACTTCTGCTCTAAAGGGATGGTCAGCATGACATTCAGAGGTCTACAATTTCCCTTGGCATGGCAAATACACATCTGCTGAGCATGACAAGTCTCCATGTTTCCTTCCAACCTGAGAGCTAGAAACCTCGCAGAAACTGGTACCCATTTGATGCTGGGCTTCCCAAGAGGAGAAGAACTATAGTGACGACGCCTCTACCCCTCTCCTGCTCTGAGGCTGAACCTTGGGCAAGGGGCAAAATCCCTGTCCTCGGGCTTTGAAGGTCAAGGACTGGGCCCTTCCTGCTGCAGTAATGAATGGCTTAGCAACCAAGTCATCAAGTATGCAGAGCCATCAGGTTTGCAAACACAGATGCAGTGGTTTAGCATTGGGGGGGGGGGGTCCACAAGGGCAAACTCCCCGGGCACAAAATTTGAACACCAGATGCTGCCTCATTATACAGCTGCATGCTTCCACCACTGGGCTCCATTGAAAACAGCTTTCCCATGCGACTCAGGAAGTGACCTCTCCAGATAATGAAATGACTCTACATCTCTCTGTGATCTCCTGGGTGACACGGATGCCATTAGGCAGTTGAATGCACATGCATCCGTTTCCCTCCTCCCCCCCCCCCCCGTGTGGCCCCAGGAACTGGCAACCCATGCTACACCACTGCACAAACAATCCTCATATGAGAATGGGGAAGCTTAAGAGTGAGGCCTGCCCAAGACCAACCAAGAAGCTCATGGATGAAGAAAGGTTTGACCTGGGGTCTACCTATTGGAGGACTCTGGGCAATTTCATTTTTACACGATAAAATGCCCCATTTGAAATACCTGTATCTTGCTTTATAGCCCGGAGGTGCTCTCAAGAAGTGGCTTACGAAAGTTTTCCAACTAGGATGATTTAGGCTCTTGCCCTTTTCTATTGCCAGGCAGCAGCTCCCACCAAAATCCTTTTGCCTCCAAGGAGCAGGGAGACAGCTGCCTCTCACGCACAGCCTGTGGTTGGATTAGGTGAGAGACTCGCATGCCATGTTCCACAAACTTCCCAGCCACCTCATTTCCATCCTATCACTTTCTCCCTTTTTTTGATGCATATGAAATGCCACCCTGAATCCTGTCGTTCTCCTAACATTTCTTACTTTGGAAAAATCCCTGAAGGAAAGTATCCCATAATAACCAGTCAAACAATAGGCATACTGCCTACACACCCCTGGAAATGCCAACCGCGAGTGTATGAAACAACGAACGTTGCTTCTGGGCAGTGCAAAGGGAGTGGATAAGCCCAGGACAGAAAAGGGGACATTTTACTAGGCAAAGAGAAACCTGAGATTTTGGAAGAGAGAAATGGCTGCTGAAAAGACAAGGCATGGGGGTGTGAGGAGGAGAATCTTTCATCCTCAAACTGAGCCTCCATTGGGAGGGGGGAGTTGCACAAGCTTTCTCCAATCATGGTTCGTCTTATATGAGAAGAAGCAGTTGTGATTGCAAGCACTGGCATGACAAGCACAAAAGCGACAGCCTGACATTAGCAATGCTATGTATAGAAAAAATGTTATACAAGACCTTCAGAGCAGAGAGAGATGCCCAAGCCTGTGGCACACGACACGACAGCAACTGAAGCTGGGTGGAAAATCAGCACAGACCAGAATGAAGCGCTTCTTCACACAGAACAGTTAAAACTGTGGAATCCGCTACCACAAGGTGTATTGACAGCCACCAACCTGGGAGGCTTTAAAAGACAAGTTCATGGAGAATGGAGCCTATCAAAGCCACAATGTCTACGTTCTGCCTCCACTGACACAGGCAGTGAGCCAGGCGGCCTGAGAGGCTGCTGCTGTGCCCGGTCCTGCTTTTGGACTTCCAAAAAGCATCTGGTTGTGAGATCATCAGCATTTTATTTTTATGCCGCTTTTCCAGTTAAAAACAATGCTCAAGGCGGCTTACAACATGACAAGATTTACATAATTCATAAACAATAAATACAGTGGTACCTCGGGTTAAGTACTTAATTTGTTCCAGAGGTCTGTTCTTAACCTGAAACTGTTCTTAACCTGAAGCACCACTTTAGCTAATGGGGCCTCCTGCTGCTGCCACGCTGTCGGAGCACAATATCTGTTCTCATCCTGAAGCAAAGTTCTTAACCTGAAGCACTATTTCTGGGTTAGCAGAGTCTGTAACCTGAAGCGTATGTAACCCGAGGTACCACTGTAAACCACATCAAAAATACACAACCAAATGGAAAACAACTTCCACATAAATCAAAATCTAAAACTAAGATTACAGCATTAATATCAGTTTGAAATGACATAGGTAAAAAATAACAGCAATTAAAAAAAGAAAAACGGAGCCCTCTCTGCCCAGCAGCGGCGCCAGCAGTCCTTGATGGAGCCCGTCAAGCGCCACCCTAGGCCAGTTGGTGAGTGGCAAGGCTGGGGCCCTCAGGCACTGAGCAGGGGAGTCGTCCTGGGTGGCCTGATCCAGCAAGGTCCTCAAGTGTGTTTATATCCTGTGCCCTCCATTTCTGGAAACCCCTTGCTTCTCTCCATTGCTCAAGTAAAAGGGACCAAACCTTTAGTGGTGCAGGCGCTGCCCTGTGGAACTCCCTGCCCGTAGATGTTTTGCAGGAACTAGCCCAGATGTCTTTTGAAAACCATACCATTCTAAGCCAGATCTTTGTAATATGAATTCTCTTTAACAAATCAGGGTTGACTGGTGTTTTATCTGTGTTTATGCTTTCATGGACATTTTGTTGATTTTATTCTCATGTTGTATACCACATCTCTCTCTCTCTCTCTCTCTCTCTATATATATATATGTATATATACACAGAAACGAGATTCAAAATACACAAATATTCAACTGTGTCGCACATACAACTGCTCCATTGCCACTTCAAGGGCCACTGAATCTCCTTTCACAGAAGTTACAACATGCATGGATTCTTAAATTCAAACTGCTTTCAAAATGGCAACCTAAAAATATCCTCCCTTGTGTTCTGCAGCCGTTATATGGAGATGTAGAAAGTGTGCATCTGCTCATGCCTGTGTTTTGCAGGATGACACTATTCCGTCAACCAACTTCAAAGGCTGTGTAATTGCTTCCCACCAGCTACAACACATTATTCCAGCTCTCCTGTGACAATCTGAAAAGGTAGAAATCCTCAATGGTAGATCACTGCACATCTGCGGTAGATCACTGGCTCCCCCCCGAAAAGAAGTTCAAAAAGTTTTGCTCCTCCAAAAAAAGCTCGGCATTTTTTGCAGCCCCCCCCAAAACAGGGCCCCCCTCTCTCCTCTCTTCCTATAAAAAGCTCAACAACTTTGACCTGCACCACCCCAAAAATGGGGGTAGTCTTTAACACTATGAGTAGATCGCAGTCTCTTGGGAGTTGGCCACCCCTGCTATAGGCAATGTCCAATCTCAATCATGCTCAGAGTAACCCACTGAAATCAATGGAAGCTTATGTCATTGAATGTGTTGGCATCAGCCTTTGAGTTCACACATCAATGTGAGAGCCAGTGTGGTGTAGTGGTTAAGAGCGGTAGTCTCGTAATCTGGGGAACCGGGTTCGCGTCTCCGCTCCTCCACATGCAGCTGCTGGGTGACCTTGGGCTAGTCACACTTCTTTGAGGTCTCTCAGCCCCACTCACCTCACAGAGTGTTTCTTGTGGGGGAGGAAGGGAAAGGAGAATGTGAGCCGCTTTGAGACTCCCTAGGATAGTGATAAAGTGGGATATCAAATCCAAACTCTTCCTTTTCTACCAAGTAATTGGTGGCCAAAATGAAGGACACAGAATCCTTTGTTAAAACTCCCCTGCCTGGTTACCTTGAAGAGACTGACCTGCCACACCCAAGAAGGGGCTGTTTATAAAACTGCCTTAATCAAACAAGAATAGAAGTTCGACCAGTTCCCGTTGTCTTTAGAATACACAGTTCCCTCCAACTTGGCTGGCCTTAAGCAGCCAGGAATATGGGCTGAGTACACACTACACATTGAAAGCACATGACGTCCCCCAGAGTCCTGGGAACTGTAGCACACCCCCTCACAGAGCTACAATTCCCAACACCCAGCACCTACAGTTCCCAGTATTCTTTTTTTTGGGGGGGGGGAATCATGTGTACATAGCCAGTTTTTAGAGAAGCTTCTGCATTCACTTGATCTTCTTTGCACTCCCCTCCCAAGACATACTGCAACAGGGCCAGCATTCAAGAAAGTGATCTGCCCACCTCCCTCTAGGTTAGGGTGGGTTCGTTGTGGCCCCTTCACATGCTGTTAAGCTAGTCCAAATGAAGCCTGTAAGGGATTAACACCAGCCCCAGTCAGCATATCTAATGGCCGGGGGTGAAAGGAAAGCAAAACAAAGATGAAAAAAGAAAAAGAAAAATCACACCTACAAAGAAAACTGTATCGTCATACTAATCGTTACTATTGACTTCCTTCCTTTGTTCTGAGACCTCATAGTTTTTAATCATTCTGTATTGTTGTGTCTAGTGCAGATTACCTCTATCTTTATACCTCTTGGACCATTTTTCAATTTCTTTAACCCTGCAAAGCTTCATTCCTTACATCCCGATATACTTACTCCAGAACAATGTTTTTTCATATATTCTTTAACACAATCCCATTCTTTTACTAATTTTTGGTCCGACTGTCCCCTTAAAAATGCTGTGAATCTTGCCAAATATATTCACAAAATTTCATTTGCCATTCTTTTATTGGTGGTATTTTTTCCCCTTTCCAATTTTTTTGCAATGAGCATCCTGGCTCATTGCAGGATGCTCCAACTCTACAATTCTAAGGTTCTATGAAAATGAGTGAGAAAAGGGGAAATTTCCTCCCAAACCAGAGTGCCACATCCCTCACAAGAGATAAGTTTTAACTGGAATAGAAAAGTCCATTCCAAGCCAATCTCTAGCTGTGCCAGTCTGTAGTGCCAGAGAACGGGGGAGAGAAGAGCTCTCCAAAAACAGCTGCAAGGGACTGGGGCACTATCAAAAGCCCAAGTCATAATCACCACCCTTGAGCAAGGTTTGCATTTTTATCTTTGCATCCTGTTTATGGCTACAGATTGAAGACACACCAAAGCTGATACATTCAACCACCACCCTACTATCCAGAGGGTCAAGGCTGTCTTGCTAATGCACAGTCCTTATTTATTTGACTCCATAAAAATTATTGCCATATTTAAGGCAGTGCCCTCATGTCAACCCAGCGTGATGGGGCTTGCCTGCCCCATATGGCGGGTGGTGGTTTAAAAAACATAAGGTTTGAAGGCTCTTTGGTACACAGGCAAATGTGAGGCCTCTTACCCCGCTGCAAATGGAAATTCCATGAATTTCCATGCTTAGTTCTATTGGTTAGGGAGGACAGAAAGTAGGGCTGGGCCTCAGAGGAGAAAAGCTGGCAAAGGAAAGAAAGAAATTGAATGAAAGGGAGCTGCCCCCAGGTTGGAGCCCCACCCCCCAAAGCTGAAACTTGAGAATGCAGGGGCACTTTCACCTGTTTTGTCCATCATGCGGTGGAAGGAAGCCTGCTCTTGTTTTATTTTCTAAGGAAATCTGGATTCTGCATTAGAAGCTGCAGCTGCCGTGAATTCCCAGAAACTCCAACACACTTGCCATGCGACAGAGCTTGCCTTTCACAGCCGCACTCTCCATGTGAGGAGGGGGTGGGGAAGACCTGGGATCTAGTTCAGGATTCTTATGAAGCAAAGCCGAGGTTCTCAGAAGTTTCAAGGCCTTGTAGCTGTAAAGATTGTGGGACTATTTAGCAAGCCTATGTTTAGGGGACTTAGAAGCTGCCAGGTACCCTTTTCTTTTCTTTTTCTTTTGCAAGGCGGAGGGGGAAGCAGATGGAAACAAAATATTTCAGGTGTCAGGGTTTTACAAACTTTTCAGACATTACAGTGGTACCTCTGGTTGCGAACGGGATCCATTCCGGAGCCACGTTCGCAACCTGAAAGGAATGCAACCCGCGTCTGCGCATGTGCGGGTCGCAATTCACCACATCTGCGCATGCGCATGATGTCATTTTGCACATCTCCGCATGCGCGAGTGGCGACACCCAGAAGTAACCCTTTCTGGTACTTCCGGGTCGCCGCGGGACGCAACCTGAAAAGACGTAATCTGCAGCGTTCGCAACCCAAGGTATTTGGGAACTTGTTCCCTCAGGGCGAGACGGGTGTGAAGAGGCCTTGGGCATCTGTGCTTGAGTAGAAGGGTGCAAAATCACTAGTGCAGACTGGTTATTACCGCTTTCATCATTTAAGTGCAAGACTACACAGTGCCCTGCTTCATCGGGGTGCCTTTCCATTGCTGCCAGCTTACACACGCTGTTTTGTTTTTCAAAAAATAAATGCACAGTGAACTCTACAATTCAAAAGCTTGCAAAAACACACACTGAAAAACACCCAGCCACCCTAAAGCAACAGTTTCTGGTCTCAATGAAAGTTTGCCGTTGAGAGGTGCAGCGACTGGCCAACCAAACTACACTTTCCTCCTGTGTTACGTCTGAGTAGACATGTGCACAATTGTACTGCAGTGAATTCTTATCTCCCACACAGAAGGAGAGATGGCGCAGCCTGTTGCAAAGTTCTAACCTTTGCCTTCGGTGGGGAGGAGGGATTCCATAGCACGCACCCACACTCACTCACTGTGTAGTATTATTTGCAGAAAATGATTCCTAGGGACTACCCTGATCTCATAAAAACTGATCACAGGAAAAATGCATCCTGGTTGCTCGGGAAAAGGAATGGAAACTACAGGAATTCCAATGACCTGGAAAGAAGTCTGAAGCAGGAAAAGAACACAGAAGAGGAAGGGGAAACAGCAACTCTTTAGACCACAGGAATAACTGGTGTCCAAGCAACTCATTGGCTAATATGGTTGGAGCAGTCAGTCCAGCTTGTTTCACAGAAATTTCTTAGACGGGGTACCTGCATATTTTGCTTCCTATTTCTCTGTCTAGAAGGGCAAGAGACTTGCCTCTTTAGAAAAAGGAAAGCTCAGAGTCCAGAGCCCCTGCCCAAAGGTACCAATGAAAGCCTCTCCAGGTGCCACCTTGCTTGTGGGTGCTGAGATGGTGACCTCCACCATGTAATATTTCTCCTGGCAGAGCACAATGTCCTATACCAGGGATGGAGAACCTGGCACTCCAGATATTTCGGGGGGGGGGGACTCCCATCAGCCTCAGCTAGCATGGCCCACAGTCAAGCATGATGGGGGCTGTAGTTCAACACCAGTTCAGAGGGCCGCAGTTATAGTTTCCCTTTGCAAGATTGTCACAAGCACCATGCATGATGCTGAAAGGTTTGGGAGCTTGTTTTTAAAAGAACCAAGCAAGAAGATTTCCAGTAGTCAGAAGGTAAGGCTTCAGAGGAGCTTAGCTCCTTCATTAGATCATCCCAGTGTTCTCAAGGCAAAAAATCAGCAAAGCTATTTGCCATCCAGGAGATGGGGCGGGTCATGGCCCTGGCACACAATCTTGGAGGGGAGCAAACCAGCATCTCTGTCGCGCCCTGCCTGGCTCCGGCAGTGAGGGCTGGGTGAGTGCCAAGGGCAAAGAGCACCCTCTGTGCCCCTACCCTGCCCGGCGCATGAGCACCTGCCTGGCAGCGTTCAGCAGCAAGAGCTGGGCGAATGCGCACCACTCCCACTGGTGAGCATTTGCGCCACCCCTGGTTCTGGCAAATGGCGCTATACCCCTGCCCAGAAGAGTTTGACCTACAACACCTCTGCGCTCTCGCTGGAGGGAGGCAATTCCAGGAAATGCATAAGAAGCATTTTGGATTTGATATCCCGCCTTTCACTCCCCTTCAGGAGTCTCAAAGCGGCTAACATTCTCCTTTCCCTTCCTCCCCCACAACAAACACTCTGTGAGGTGAGTGGGGCTGAGAGACTTCAAAGAAGTGTGACTGGCCCAAGGTCACCCAGCAGCTGCATGTGGAGGAGCGGAGACGCGAACCCGGTTCCCCAGATTATGAGACTACCGCTCTTAACCACTACACCACACTGGCTTGGAGGGGTCACCTGCTCAGCATGCAGAAGGTCCCAGGTCCAATTCCAGATGTCTCCTGGTGCCAAGAAAGGGTCCCCAAGCCCCAGGAGACCACCTGCTGGTCACAGGTAGGCCACAGTGGGCTACATCTTCCTCCCCACACCTTCACTGAAGAAAAATGCGGTGGACGGAACAAAGCCTGCCTCACATGTAAATTCAGAAAGTGTGCCTTGGCTACCGGAGGGTTAGCCAACACCATCTTGAACCCATTTTGAGGTATACTCCATATTTAGGTGCCAGCAAGCCTCTCACCAACACCAGGCTATCGAGGGAGCGGGTTGCAATGCCAGCTGCTTCAAATGCCTGGCATTTGCTAGTGCAGCAATCTTGTAGGTCAAAGTCACCCACCAAGTATTCCTGAAAAAACAAGGCACCAGTGGGCGATTAACCCCTTGGGTAAGGTTACTGCCATAAAAGGGGACCGGGTATATAGTGTGACAGACAGTCTCAGAGCCTTATAGGATTACAGACACCAACCAATACACCCATAAATCAGGCCTCTGAAGTCTGAGGATGCGTGGAAGTGTGCAAACTACTGCCCAGAGGGGCCACTGCACCTGTGTTTCCTCAAGAGCAGAGGGACTAGCATCCAGCAGGGCCATCCGCTGCTAAAACTGAGGGGAGCCTCAAAACTCACGTTTGTAACAACACTGCAGCAATCTGCCAAAGTCAAAACTGCCCCACGGCAGCTTCCCCTGTGCCTCTGGCCCAGGCAGGAGACCATACCTTCTTTAGCTTGTCGTTCTCCTCCATGTACTTCTTGGCCGCATCGCTAGCTCCTTCTGCCTGCTTCTTGAAGGCTTCGTTCGAAGCCAGGACAGTGGCGTGCTGGGAGATGAGGGTGACCAGGCGTCTCAGCAGACTGCAAGGACAGAGGCAGAAGGTTGCTCAAAGAGGGCATCGCAAACCAAGTCAACAAGAGAGTTAAGACACACACAGAGAGGTCTTTAGATCTGGGTCTGCTGTAAAGGGCACTGGAGTGACCTAGTTGATAAAGCACCGGGTTCAATTTCCAGGTCAGTCACAGGCTTCCCAACTGGCCTTGGAAACGAGGATTTTGTACTGGAAACTGGGAGTGACAGTAGCTTTCTTGCCCACCAAGGCTGTCTCTGCATACTGGGGAAAGCAAGCAAGGAACACAACTTGGCCTTGCCCAAGGCTAACCAGGTGGGACTTGAATCTGAACCCAGTAGTGCTTTATCAGCTGGATCACTGAAGCCCCCACCTCAAGTCATAAAACGACTGAGCCATGCATACCCGTTGGGGAAAACAGAACAGTGAGGCCTAACAATGTCTCTGACCAGAGAAGACTGGTAAGAAAATGGAAGGCCGGTCTTGCCATCAACAGGATCATGAGTTTAACTGCAGTAGAGAAGACTGTGCTTCACGTCAAAAGTTCAAGGATGGGGACCTGTGACTTTCTGGATATTGCTGGACCACCATCTCCCACCATCCGTGGCCACGGGCCGAGCTGGCTGGGGCTGACACAACCTGGAGTCCAACATTATCCATAGAGCTACTTAGGATCCCCATTCCTGCTTCATGTCAAGGTTCCGCAAACCTTTGATAAAAGAAGCTGCCTTATACAGAGTCAGGACATTGGTCCATCCAGCCCACTATCGTCTGTACCCTGACCAGCAGAGATTCTGCAGCACAGGAGTTCTCTCCCCACACCAAGACAGAGGAGAGCAAAAGGCAGAAGGATCCGTGGAGCGCTTGGCCAAAGCCTTTGCTGCCTCCCAAGCCAGGAAGTGGTTGTGGCCCCTGCCAATGCAGGCACAGCTCCACACTGAGAACCCATTCTGCCAGCCCTTCTGCAATTGTTTATATCAAAATATGGCCTCTCTTATGAGGTTGTTGCTCACCAGGGCTCTCAGCTTAGAGACAGCTTCTTCTCCACCCTCCACCTGCTATCACCACTGCTTCCCTCCATCTTAGCCTTATCACTTCTTGCCCCATTCCCACCAGAGGAGCAAGAACAATGAAGCAACGCTTCCTGGACTTGAAAGAAGCCACTGCACGTCACCCTTTCAAGGAGCAGCTCCTTTTCAGCATAGGAGAAGAGAAGAGTTTGGATTTGATATCCTGCTTTATCACTACCCTAAGGAGTCTCAAAGCGACTAACATTCTCCTTTTCCTTCCTCCCCCACAACAAACACTCTGTGAGGTGAGTGAAGCTGAGAAACTTCAGAGAAGTGTGACTGGCCCAAGGTCACCCAGCAGCTGCATGTGGAGGAGCAGAGATGCAAACCCAGTTCACCAGATTACGGGTCTACCGCTCTTAACCACTATACCACACTGGCACCAAAGGAGGCAGACTAATGTACAGGGAACCATGCAGAGCCAGCCCCCAGAGTCACTGCAAGGCGCTACATTGCAAGGCTTACGCAAGCCCTTCCGGCAGCTTGGATTGGCCCAGGGGAAGGAAGGCTGCCACATCCAGGAGCCACCAAGCAGATCGATCGTGACAAGGGAGTGCCAGGACACAGGCCAAGAGTGGCGCCCACAAAGCTCAGCCTTGGCCAGATGTCAAACAGGCTTTTGCCACCACCAGATGACCACTGTCTGTTAGAAGCCACAGACCGAAATGCTGGTCAGAGAAGGGAGTGAGGTGGCAATAAACCCAGTGCAAGGCAGAGATGGCCCTCAGCACAGATTCCTCTGGCTGCAAGAGCTGCCATCGCAAAGCCACAAAGCGGAACGAGAGAACGCTGGCAGTCCCTTCGAGTGCTTCAATGCCAACTGAAGCCCAGCGCAGGGTGGCTTGCAGCTCTCGCCTGGAGAAAATGCTCCATCCCGTTTTTTAAAAAGCTTCTCTCGATAGCGAGGACACAAGAGAGGGAAGGGCAAGCTTTGTACCTTTCTGAATAACCGCCTTGCAAGTCAATGTGCTTTCAAGGGCAAGGGAAGGGCAAAGCCACCTTGGACAAGCGTTATGGGAGTGAGATCTGGCCCAGGACTCCCAGTTCCCTCTGTATAGCCATTCTGAGCACGGACAACAAACGCATTTTGCAACAATGAAAGGGAAAGTGAGCTGAGAAGCTGCAGCCCGAAGGCCAAGGGCTGAGCTCACAAGACCAGAACATCCTGCCTCCTGGCCAGACACTCACACACAGAAAAGATATGGAAGCCGACAGCTCCCCCCCCCATCCCTACTTCCAGCCCCAGCTGCACAGTCAAGCACATTCCCTTTGTATGCAACTCTGCACCCAGACTGCTGATTTATGGCCCACAGGCATTGTTCACACCCTTCGCCAGCTGTCTTGTGCGGCCAAACGCGGCTGCTCATCAAACCAGAGAGCTGGCTGGACAGGCACTGTAATGGACACAACAGAGACCCCGCAGCCTGCTCACAGTGCCAGGGGGACATGAGCCCTGGTTCAGCCGGCCTCTGTGAGCAGCTGCTGCCAACGGCAAGGACCACTGGCAATGGAGAAGGGGTGAAGCAGGAGGTCCCAGGTTCAATCTCCAAGTGGCATCTCCAGGTGGGGCTAGAAATGCCCCCCGCCCCGCCTGAACCCTGGAGGCCGTGGCTGCCAATCAGTGTGGCAAAATCTAGATCAGCCTTTCTCAGTCTGTGGGTCCCCAGATGTTGTTGAACTACAACTCCCATCACCCCTAGCTAGCAAGGCCCGAGCTGAGGGATGGTGGGAGTTGTAGTCCAACATCTGGGGACCCACAGGCTGAGAACCGCTGACCTAGATGGGCAGCTGCTCTAGCTCAGAATGAGGCCATCTTCCTCCGCTGGGGGAAGGGCCACATCTCGGTGGCAGAGCGTCTGCTCTGCATGCAGAAGGTCCCAGGGTCAGTCCTCTGCACCTCCAGGTAAGGCTAGGAACACCCCCTGGCTGAACCCTGTACAGCCTCTGCCAGCCTGTGCAGACAATGCTGGGCTAGATGGACGAATGGTCTGACTCTCAACAGGTTGCAAAATGAATAGCAAACATAAAAACCCATGATGTGGGCAGGAGAAGAGAGAATAACTTTAGGAATTGGAATTTCATCTCTTTTAGGCTTCTTACTGTTAATCTCAGAAGCTTCTTAAGAAAAAGTTGGCTCGAAGGGCCAAGGGCTGCCTGGCCCTCACTACAGTCCAAGGGCACAGAAGTGGTGGTTCTGTCCAGAGAAAGCGTCCGGCATGTGCTCATTAGGGCATCACTTTGTGGCTTAATCCCCAACTCTGAAGAGTCTACTCTACTGGCTTGTAGACTCAGCTGCTGTCCTCATCCTCAGGAATTTTCAGTAAGAGGTAAGAGATTATGCACGCCTGCCACCTTGTGGCCAGAGAGAGCACAGCAGGCTGCTTCAGCCTCTGCAACTACAGTGGTACCTCGGGTTAAGAACTAAATTTGTTCTGGAGGTCTGTTCTTAACCTAAAACTGTTCTTAAACTGAAGCACCACTTCAGCTAATGGGGCCTCCTGCTGCCACTGCGCCGCCGGAGCACGATTTCTGTTCTCATCCTGAAGCAAAGTTCTTAACCCGAGGTACTATTTCTGGGTTAGCGGAGTCTGTAACCTGAAGCGTATGTAACCCAAGGTACCACTGTACTTAACTCTAGTCTAAACAGCAGCAAACAGAATACACTGGTACCTCGAGTTACATACGCTTCAGGTTACATAAGCTTCAGGTTACAGACTCCGCTAACCCAGAAATAGTACCTTGGGTTAAGAACTTTGCTTCAGGATGAGAACAGAAATTGTGCGGTGGCAGCAGCAGCGGGAGGCCCCATTAGCTAAAGTGGTACCTCAGGTTAAGAACAGTTTCAAGCTAAGAACGGACCTCCGGAACAAATTACCGTAAGTTCTTAACTAGAGGTACCACTGTATGCAACAGGGGTTGGAAACAGGATGTCTTTGGTCAACCACCACATGGTCCTCACAGTCAAGTGGAGGCAAGAGGGAGCAAGCAGTGCATGCCCAGCTACTGCATAGTCCCATTATTTATTATTATTTGTATACTGCCCTTCATCTGAAGATCTCAAGGCAGTTCAAAGCATAAAAATACGTAATAAAAACACAAAATACCTAATAAAAACAAGAACTATTTGTGGGAACTGGAGTCCAACAGCATCCAGAGGGCCACCTCTTAGGAATCTTAGCAAGTCTTGGATAGTAAGCGGGAATACAGAAGGCACTGGGAATAAGGCATTGAGATGAGCAGTTGCATCAGTTGCAGCCAGATTGCATCACCCTTCGCACCCACTTCTTGCCAGTAAGGCCAAATTGTCAGTAAGGCCCTTGACATAGTTCTTGCAGATCATGTTGCTGTATAGAAATTTTGACACCCTGCCTCCTCCAAGTGGCCTTCCAAAAGAGCTAGGCTGCTGTGCCAGACTGATGCTGAAAACAGGAGTCCTGCTCTGAAGATTAACCGGTTTTTTACAGCATAAGCTTTTGATGGGATGGAAGCCACCCAGACAGACAAGAGAGAGAAAAGAAACAGAGAGATAGCACCCAGTGAGGCTCTAAACAGCCTAGGACCCTCGTACCTACGGGACCGCCTCTCCCGGTATGCCCCACAGAGAGTCTCAAGGTCCATAAATAGCAACACCCTAGTGGTCCCGGGCCCTAAGGAAGTTAGATTAGCCTCAACCAGAGCCAAGGCCTTTTCAACATTGGCTCTGGCCTGGTAGAACACTCTGCCTCATGAGACCAGGGCCCTGCAGGATCTGATTTCTTTCCGCAGGGCCTGTAAGACAGAGTTGTTCCACCTGGCCTTTGGCTTGGAGCCAATTTGATTCCGTCCCCCTCTTTCTTTTTTCTTTTTCCTTTCTCCTCCTGTGATGAGGCTGCATTTTAATATTTTAATGTTTCAATATTTTAATGTTGTATTTTAATCTTGTTTTTAAGTTGTATTCATTCAACTTGTTTTTATTATTGCTTGTTAGCCGCCCTGAGCCCGGCCTTGGCTGGGGAGGGCGGAGTATAAATAAAAATTATTATTATTATTATTATTATTATTATTATTATTATTATTATTAACCAAGGACAGGAAACCAGTGTGGCCCTCTAGATCAGGCATCCCCAAACTCTGCCCTAGCTAACAGGACCAATGGTCAGGGATGATGGGAGTTGTAGTCCCAAAACAGCTGGAGGGCCGAGTTTGGGGATGCCTGATCTAGATGCTGTTCTCCAGCCCTGACCTAAACAGAGCAACACAAATGGGAGCAGGGAGAAGAGGCAAGCCCCTCTGCAGCTCACATCACGCTCGTTGTCAAAGCTTCCAGAAGGGAGAGCAGGGAAATGTGATGAAAACCGTGCCTCCTTTTTGTACAGCAGTGGTTTTCAAATCTATCTTCAGGGAGTAATTTTTAGTATTACTTTGCCTGCCAATCTGCACATCTCACAGTTGTTGAGACAACCTGGGCATGCACCATGCAAACAACACTGCAGAAGGTTAATTGCATTGCTTATGCAAGGGTGGGGAGACTTTTTCGTCCACTATGGGGGCCAACCTTGACAGGCGAGTGGTGCAATCCACCCCAGAGGCGAAACTAGGCTTTATTTCACTTGGGTCAAAGACCCAGTTGGGTACCCAATCCCCCAATGCACATTTGCATATATACACACACACACACACACACACACACACACACACAGCCTGGGAGCCTCAATGGCGCCCCTCTGGAGGCTTCACCTGAGCAAAAACCCTGGCTAGCCCCCGCCTCCTATAGCTACAGCTCTGAGGCAGACAACACCAGATGATTGGCCACCCTCCAAATTCACTGTGCAGGGTTCCCAAACTTGGCGTCACAGCGCAGGAGGCATTGCCAGCCCTGTGCCTTCCATGTTCTGTAGGCTGAAAGAAGCACAGGCAGCTTCAAAGAGCAGTTGTAAAAAGGGAGAAGCAGCTTCCACTGAATAGAAACCACATGCCCACCTCAAGCAAGGTGCGTTCTCATTGCCCATCATTTGATGCCATGACTGGGAGTATACCTTGCTCCAGCAAATTAAACAGTCAGGAATCCACTTTAAGCTCCTGGTTGTTCCTTTGAAACCCCACCCTTACCTATCCCACACCTGCTATCATATATGTGGGGCGCTGGGCCTGGGTTCACAAAAAAGCCTTGTAGGCCAAGTGGGCAGGCCTAGATAGCCACGTTTGGCCCGTGGGCCAGAGGCTCCCCACCTCTAGCTTTGCCATCCTCTCAGGTGGCGCTGTGGGTTAAACCACAGAGCCTAGGACTTGCCGATCAGAAGGTCGCCGGTTTGAATCCCCGCGACGGGGTGAGCTCCCGTTGCTCGGTCCCTGCTCCTGCCAACCTAGCAGTTCGAAAGCACATCAAAGTGCAAGTAGATAAATAGGTACCGCTCTGGTGGGAAGGTAAACAGTGTTTCCGTGCGCTGCTCTGGTTCACCAGAAGCGGCTTAGTCATGCTGGCCACATGACCCGGAAGCTGTGCGCCAGCTCCCTCGGCCAATAAAGCGAGATGAGCGCCGCAACCCCAGAGTCGGCCACGACTGGACCTAATGGTCAGGGGTCCCGTTACCTTTTATGCAGCTCTGCAGCCAACACCTACGGTGCAAGAGAACCAGGCAAAGCATCATTAAGGGGAGATGTCAAAGCCTGCCTAGAAGCTTTTCTCTGTAAAGGAGAATATATGGAGGCCACCCTTGAAATGGTGAAAGGGATGCTCCCAAGAGAACTCTTTGCTACTATGTGCAAGAACTATGTCAAGGGCCACAAAGTAAATAATTTGGTTCTTACTGGCAAGAAGTGGGTGCTAAGGGTGATGCAATCTGGCTGCAGCTGATGCTCCCCTCAATGCCTTATTTCCAGTGCCTCCTGAATTCAAACCTAGTATCCAAGCCTTACCCAGATTCCCAAGCATCTGGCCCAGGGATTGGGAAATGGTGGCCCTCTAGATGCTGTTAAGACTCCAGTTTCCATCAGGCTCCAGGCAGCATGGCTAATAGTCAGGGGTGATGAGTCTGGCCGGCCACGCAGCTTGCCCACCACCAGATCTGGCCTCAGCAGTGCCCCTGAGGTACTCACAAGGACATCAGCAGCGAGAAGCCAGCAATGTAGAGGTTCCGCTGGGCTCGGAAGAGCTTCATGTGATAATGCTCCACAGCCCCAGGGTTGGTCTGCAGGTTCACTTTCTCGGTCACGTCGTCATATTTCCGGATCTCACGAATGGCATCTGCAAGTCACAAATTTATATACGAGTCAGAGCTCCGCAGACTGACAATTTATTTGCAAGCCTTGCTTGAACTGGTTGGTTTCTGGAGATTTCGTCCCAAGCCCAGCCCATTGCCATGAATCCATGAATCCAGCTGAAGTCTTTGACAAGACTCCACCAAAAGCCATCATGCCACAACAGCATGTGTTCCAGACAGAAGTATAAAATGGAGGTAGGTTTTGGTCATGCCAACTTGAGAATGCTTGTCCCACTGACCAACGGTAGGGTCCCCAAAGCAGGTCTTAGACTGATGGGAACATAAACAAGCTTTTCAGCTGCCCCCACACAATGCAACACTTTGCTACCCTCCTACCATGAGGAGCCTCTGGGTAATTTCCACTGGTCCAGAATATAGTAGCATAATTTCTATCTAGAACTAACCTCCAGGAGCGTATCTCACCTTTCAGAGCAGGGCTGGGGGCCTGTGGCTCTCTAGCTATTTATGGACTCCAGCTCCCATCAGCCCCAGCCAACATGGCCAATGATTGGAGATGATAAGAGCTGTAGTTCAACAACTACTTGGGGGGGGGGTCACACGCTCCCCAGCCCAGTCTCTGAGGAGAGCGCCATTAGCTGCCAGCTTGTTTTCAGGCCCAGGTTAGGTTGTCGGCTTCCAATCTTTAAAGCCCTCAGTGGCCTTGATCTAGGAAGCCACTTAATGAGCTCTTTCTCCTATACTTGCCACCCACCACATTAATTAAGATTGACACATGAGACATTACTTCATGTAATCATGATCATCTGAGGCAAGATCAGCTGTCACCAGGAATAGGATATATTCAGCATGGCGCCCAAGTTAAATTCTCTCCTGAGAGAAATCTGTCAGTTCCACTCCATTGTCATATATTTCAGGGCTTTTTTTTTTGGTTAAAAGAATAATGATAATGAGGTGCCGGTTCTAGTATCTACACCAAAGTGCTGTGGGTGCCAGCACAAAATGGCTGCCATGAGCATCAAAGAAACAGAGGTACTATTAGAAGGGGGCGGAAGGGCCCTGCTTCTCATGCTTGAGAATTAAGCCAATGTTAGCTGAAAGGTCTGTGTAGACGTAAGACAATGTCACCCCTCCTTCATTCCGTTCCATTCTGAAACAGTACGAATGCTATTTGGGTATTAACATTACAAGCCATTTTGACAGCCTAAGTCATGGCAATGAATGATTGCAAAATAAAGTTTTGACTCCTCACTGACTGTGCTAAAGGTGAAACTATTTCCTCACATATTCAGCCTCGCCAAGTATTCTAAAAGCAGCGGACTTCCAATACCAGGCGATACGTTGGTCACATGATTGTGCTGCCCAGGCTTCTTTTTCTTTTAGCAACAGAAATTGCTGGGGTGCAATTCAGATGGGGATCACAGTGCATGGACCGGTGTGTGTGTGTGGTGGTGACCTACTCCACAGCCTTTTTCTCACTAGAAAGCCACTCTTCTGCTTATTGCCCCTAAAGGTGTGATTTGCCACAAGCAGCTTGGGAGGCAATTTTGAGGGGGGAAATGTGTGGAGAGAAGGGACAATTCCCTCACCCCACAAATCCTACCCAAAGTCAAACCCCCACAGCTGATATTTCCAGAAGGAAAATCAAGCTCAAGTCACATGGCAAAGATATCATCCAGTCTGGGTCAAGTATGATAGTCAGGTTTCAAGAATATATGGGGTTAGCAGGATAAAGGTAACTAAAGTTTGAAGTGACTGAGAACTAAAGCACTGAATTTCTTCTCCTCCCAGGCCAGGTAGGGGATCCTGAGGCCCAGAGCACACCCATCTACCCCCAAGACCTCTCTATCTGGCCCACATGACTCTCTCCAGGACACAGCCCACACTAGCACCTGCCCCACTGTCTCCTTGAGGACTTTTGCCTGACTGGAACTGAGAATAGAGAGGTCTGCATGGGAATCCCTGGATTTTACATGACTTGAATGGAGCCTGCTATATGCAAGTGAGTAATGTCTGGGGTCCTACCCGTTTTTTTGCCTCTGGCCACGCCCATTTTGTGGCCCCCAGGAGGAAAAAGTGCCCTATCCTTGCCCTTGACAATTATTACAAGAAAGCCTCTTCAAAAGAAAAGAAAAAAAGCCTGTGCAACAACTTCTTCTGCTAGTGCAATGGGGCTTGCCCCTCCAGTTGGCTCTGGGGGTCAGGAGAACCACTGGGACAGCAGGCAGGTGGAGGAGAAGGCAGCTCATTTCATCAGGAAAGCAGAAATGAGTGAGCCGACAGAGCGATCCGCTTGGCTCTATGTTGAATTCATTCCCTAAAACAGGGCGGCTGACTGATGACCCATGGGCTGGACTCGCCTTCTTGTGGTGCCACATGAACAAGTCTCATTTTGGTTCTATAATAAGTTTCTGCATTTGTGTGGAATACGGCACACAAGTCCATCAGCTCCATCCCTAGGGAGCCCCAACAGCCAGACGGCACAAACTGATGGGATGGCGCTCTACTCACTCATAAAACGAATGCTTCAGTGGAGATTCCTGCATTGCAGTGGGTTGGACTAGATGACCCTCGGGGTTTCCTTCCAACTCTACAATTCTGAGTCCATGAAAGGGGTTTGTATGGAAGAGTGCACTTCTCACCCTCACTGTCCCACTGAAAACTCCAGGGGGCAGCAGAAGCCAACTTCTTGCATACCTTGCAAGCTCCATCTCTGCATGAACTGCAGCTTGCATGTGCCATTTTAACACCCTTGCGCTGTCTCTTGCCAAAGGAGCCAGAAGCAGAGAAACCTGCTGAAGAACAGCCAGGAATGTTTCACAGGGAACAGCCTACCTGTCACTGGACATGTGCTGCTGGCTAGAACGCTGGATTCTGGGCCATCACTGCAGGTGACTTTAGAGGCAGTGACAAAGAACATGGTGCCCTCCAGGTGCTGGCGTACTGCAATGCCTAACAGCCTCAGCCAGCATGACCAACGGTCAGGGATGATGGGAGTTGTAGTTCAGGGACAGCTGAAGGGCGCCATGTCGACCATCCTTGCTTTAGGGGAAATTGAGCATCTCTAAGACAACAACCCAGCCACAGAATCTATCTTAATGGAGGGGGAGGTAAGAATGTGCCCAACTTCTGATCCAATTTATTTCTAAGCCGTTTCTCCATCTCAAAGGCCTTCAAAGTGCCGGCAACCTTCTTTTAAAAATATAGAATTCTGCACCATAAAACTGGATCAGGAGTGACACGCACACAATCCAGGGGAGAGCTTGTCCACAAAGGCACTACATAAAGGCTGGGCCAAGTGCCGAAATGCTAGCAGGGAGAGGGGGCCAAGGGAGCCCTTCAGGGCATGGAGTTCCATAATCTGGGATAAACAACCCAAAAGGGTCTGCCCCATGTAGAGGGTAGACTGCATCTCTAACAGTGGCAGAGCAGAGCATCTGCTGAGGACCTCAAAAGGCAGACAAATATCACATGAAGGAGGCGGTTTCTAGAAATGCCCTGATGCAAGGGACTTAAAACAAATTGGTTTGCTTTATGTGGAACTGGTGTAGTGGAGGTAGGGGTCAAAAGAGCAGCCTCATTTCACAAGGCTTCCAGGGTCTCTCCCCCACCCCCCATCTGAATAGAATACATTGCCATAACCCACACAAAAGATATTTGGCATCCTAGCCCAACTGCTGATGATATTATTATTATTATTATTATTATTATTATTATTATTATTATTATTATTATTTATTATTTTATTTGTACCCTGCCCATCTGGCTGGGTTTCCCCAGCCACTCTGGGCAGCTTCCAACAAAGATTAAAAATACATCAAAATGGATGCAAAGCAGTTGTCTACTCAACTGTCCTGAGCAGCTAAGTGCAATGGTGAAGTAGAAAGAAGGTACCGTATTTTTTGCACCATAACACTCACTTTTTTCCTCCTAGAAAGTAAGGGGAAATGTCTGTGTGTGTTATGGAGCGAATGCCTATGGATGGCGGGGGGATCTGCTGCAGTTGTGAGCAGAGGATCCATGGTTCCCCTTCCTTCCCTCCTCCGTGGCTCGCTTTGAAACATCAAAGCGGGAGAAGAGCCGCTGAGTGAGGAGGAGAGAGAGACAGAGAGCCTGCTTGCTTTAAAGGAGCAAAGCGGAAGAGGAGAGGAGAGGAGCCGCTTACACTCGTGTAAGCGGCTCCTGTCCGGTTGGCTCCTTTAAAGCAAGCAGGCTCTCTGTCTCTCTCTCCTCCCCACTCGCTAAATAGGAGCAAAGTTTTTCGCAAGCAGGCTCTGTCTCTCTTTCCTCCCCACTCCTCTTATAAGAGCCTTCTTCTCTTATACCCCTCTTCTGCATTATTAACAGCATCCTTCTCCACCCACCCCACGCGTGTTCCCTGTCCCTTGAGTGCTTTTCCTTCCCTCCCCACTTAAAACATGGTTACAAAGCACGGATCCACACGGATCCTCAGGATTTTTGCACTGGGTCACCCCAAATTCACCATCAGATCACATAGCATGTCCATGGCTACAGCTTGCACCAAAAAAATCACGCACCCACTGTTGCCTGGGGCCGCAGTGGTGCAAAAACGTGGTTACAAAGCACGGATCCACATGGATCCTCAGGATTTTTGCCTTGGGCTACCCCAAACTCACCGTCAGATCACATGTCTGTGGCCACAGCATGAACCACAAAAATCATACATCCACTGTTTCGTTTAGAATATTTTTTTTTCTTGTTTTCCTCCTCTAAAAACTATGTGCGTGTTATGGTTGGGAGCGTGTTATAGAGCGAAAAATACGGGTACCTATAAAGCAGAGGTCTGTCATCTCCACCACTTTCGCACCCGCAACCCCCAATATTTTGACACCAGCTTTCCCCCTCTGATTTATCTTCAACTCTTACTCTTCTAGGATTTTCCACAGCACAGAACTGCTTCTGGTTGCCTTTTAGATTTCACAGCCACCCTGTGAGGAAGACCCCAAGAAAATTCATGGCTGGGCAGGATTTGAACCACAATCCTTCACGGCCAAACCCAGCACAGCACTCTGGGCAAAGCCCTACCCCAGCTACATGGAGGGAGATGAAAGATGGTTCTCCTGAATCACTGGCCAAGATAAAGTTGAGCGGGTGTGGAGAAAGGCCCTGAACCACAGCCACGTTCCTGTCCCCTTTCTGTCTCAGTGCTGGGCTATGAGCAGCTCAGAGAGCACAGGAGGAAGAAGTGGCCCAAGGCCCTGGCCAGAACCTGGCAGGCACAGGCAGAGAAGCAAACGCTCCCATGAGCGGGTGAGGCGAGAACACCCACCCCAAGCACACTGGCTTCCTTCCACTCACCAAGAAACAACAGGACCAGGATGACTATGAGCACAACAAAGAAGGTATTCCCATAGGCCAACATTATCTTCACCAAGCGGGACTTGAAGATTTTCTGCCATCTGTGGAAGAAGGTTGGAGGTTAGGATCAATGCTTTGCAGGCAACAAACACAAACACACTTGACCGCAACACAGGCAGCAGCTTGTTCTGCTATGGGTGGGGAAGCAAAATGGAGACAGGACCCAGTTTTTCCTCTCTTGGGCTATTTAGGAGGCTGTGGACAAGCGCCGACCAAGACTACGATGGTAAACTTCCAAACGCAGTTGGCCTATAACATTCCCATCATCCCCAAGTATTAGTTACACTGGCTGAGCTGATGGGAGTCTCAGCAACATCTGGAAGGCTCTAGGTTCCCCCTTCCCTACCTCCAGGGATTTCCCACCTCCCCGGTTACCTCTGCCTAACCTGACGCCATGGAGCCACTTTCAGGCAGAAGGCATTTTGGGGCTACATCAATGCCTTGGAGGGAGTGTAACTCCTGGAAGAAATCAGGAGACAACGCGGTAACTGCCAAGCAACATCCCCAGACAGCCTTCCGTCTGGGTTAAACAGCAGCGGAAGAGATGCCAGGAGGAGATGGGAGGAAGGAATGGGTGGGGGGGGGATGTGTATGCCATGATTCTAAAGAAGTGCAGGTTGGGAAGAGAATTCAGCTTCCTGAGAGTCTTGCATATATGTATTTTTTTTTAAAGAAAACTAAGGTTCTAGGCCTCATAACTGGGAAGGTATGTTTGTAAGGTGAGCAGTGCCTGCGAAAGACTCAAAAGCCAGAGGAGCAGCCAAGGAAGGCTTCCAGGAGCTAGAAACAGAAATGAAGTGTCCCAGGCAGCTCTTTGCTTCTCCCAAAAAGTTAAATTAGCAGAACTATGCAGGGTTTAAGTAGGTCATTTTAAGGATTGTGACACATGGCACCAAACACAAAAATATTTTTTAAGCAATTGCCTCTCATTTTCCAATCATGTCACACAAAAGATTCCATCAACAATCGGATTTCATTAACTGAATTATGCAAACTAAGTTTACAAGCAGTGTTAGAAACTCAGATATAGATTGCCAAATGGCACCTTAAACCAAGGCTGCGGTCACCCCAGTGGCACCACTCCCCTCCCACCCCCATGGGATGATGACAATTATTATTATTATTTCTGTTTCTATACTGCTTTATATTTTAAAGAACAAATCTCTGTGTTTTACAACACATTAAAACATCAAATAAAACAATTCAGAATAAATCTAATTCAGGCTTCAGGGAAAGTATTTCAGATTCTTCTCGAAGTGGCATTTTGTTTTCCTCAATCGCCAGCCTGGCATCCAGAGATCTCCATGTAGTCACAACTGGACCCGCACCAGTCGCAACTGGCTAATTCCAAACACCATTTACAAGTTTATGTAGCAAAACATGGCTTTTCTTGCTGCAGAATCTGCAAAATTTGGACTTAGCAGGCTACAGAATTTTATTTCTTAGTGCATCAGAATACAAACAGCCCTGACGGTGAGCTTTACTATCAACCTTTGTAATAGTAATAAAAAATTACTTAGCCGCCCTTCTATAAAGTCCCAGAGTTGCAGCACTTTATAATAGGTATTTTAATCAGCTTAAAATAAATTAGTGTCGTGGAATAGGGTGGTTCCTAAGAACACTGTCCAAGAACTATGTCCTACATAAGGGCTGTTGCACCATTTCCTAACCACAACCCCCCTCTGAGCTACTTAGCAGATGTTTGACAATAAGGAACTTGGCTAAATAAATGGGAGTGACTTTTCATCCACCTCCTTGTCTCCTCTCACAGATTCCAGTGACAACCAGATATTAAAAATAATTTCCCATCGGTCTGCAAGAGCTAATCACTCAACCCACTGTTTCGTTGACAGGCATCCATCCGCCTCCTGCAACATCCTAGAAACCAAGGCCGAGAGAGGGTGTGATTGCGTCCTTAATTGTGTTACACAACAGCTGTGGCCTGGAAAGGCTCCTAGGTTCACCCGCAATCCCATCCCCACCTCAGCTCACCTTGTTGCTGAGATAAAGGGTATGCACAGGAGGAAAACGAGGAGGACTTCTGCATAGAGGAAGGTGGCCACAGCCGCCCACTGGAGACTCATCATGAGACGCTTGGAAGGGACTTTACGTTGGAGAGGCTGAAGACTTCACGGCTAGGATGCAATTCTTAGCTGGAAGAGAGAGAGAAGACACTTGAATATGAAATTTGCTGGGCAAAATCCCCTATCTTGTACCCTCGCAGCAACAACCGCTCAACTCCAAAGCTAAGGTTTAACCTGTATGGCACACTGAAGGAGGGAGAAGCCTCAGCTATTGGTTCCCCCTTATCTATTTAGGCAGCGCTGGGTAACCTATGGTCCTTCAGATGGCAATGGACTCCAAATCCCATCACCTCCAACTAGCATGGTCAATGGTCAGGGATGACCACTGGGAGTTGTACAACATCATCTAGAGGACCACAGGTTCTTCCCCTCTGCTTTCAAGACTGGCTAAGCTTACATACCATGCGAGTTCACTGCCATCTCAGAGGACAACCTTTGAGTAAGCTCAGGCAGGATCTGCCTGCAGGATCAGAGGCGGTGTATCTTGCTGGGGTTCCACAAGTGGGGCAAGTGCTGTTGCCTTTGCTATGGGCTTCCCAGAGGAATCTGGTTTGGCCATTATGAGAACAGGATGCTAGACTAGATGGGCCTCTGGCCTGATCCAGCAGGGCTCCGATGTACTTAAAGTCTGTAATGTTCATGAAACCCACATCAACCCCCCCCCCCCAAAATGTATTTGGCACAATGGTCAGAACATGTCGTTAAGCTGCTCAAGAACTGGAACAAGTTTGTTCTTTTTCCTTAGGGAATTAGGTTCATCCTCACATTTTAGCATTTATTCTTTTGTACCTTGTGAGCTGCCCAAAATACAGGTTATATAAATAGTTTGTTTTATGATAATTTGGATTGTTCCTATCTTTGTACAGTTTATCATCATCATTATTATTATTTTAATTTAGTACCCACCTTTCACCCTAAGGTTGCAAGGCGAGTCACGACAATTAAAAAACTGACAACTGAACAACACAATCACAAAAAATAGGGAGGGTCCTAGTCTGTAATTTTATGTACACCACTTAAAAACGTTAATGGCTTAAATAAATACATAATGGCTTAAATAAATAAATATATTCTTTATATTAAATAAATATATTCTTAACACAGCTTGCTCCATGGGAGATTTCTCTGTTTGCAATCCAGACAGAGATGGATACATTAAGTGCTCTATGATAATCATCTGCTGTCTCTTTAGATCAAGGCCTCTTTCTCCTCTCCGTCTCCATTTTGATTTTACCTTCAGATTTGGGTTGGGGGAATCTGTGACCCTTCAGATGTTACTGGACTGCAGCTCCTTCCCTTCAGCCCCAGCCAATGACCGATGGCCAGGCTTGTAGCTCCACAACTTTGAGGGCCACAGGTTTCCCATCCCTGCTTTAGGCACAGTCTAATGCAAAAAAGCAGGGGCCTTAGGGAAGGGTCTGACACCCCAAGAAAAACTCTTTTAGGGAAAGAAACAAAAGTAGCGCTTTCTGTTCAGTGCCATCTTTCCTGCACAAACATTTAGGGAGTGATGCTGCCATGGACACCAGGCTAGTGCCCCACCTAACAGGCAGTTCATTCAGTAACAACTTGCAGGCCTCCAGCCCCACAGCAAGCATCAGTGTTTAGAAGCAAGCAATATTTCACCCTTTGCTACCTTTACAACCTTTGCAAAGACCCAGTGGATGAGTTGCATTTGAGACTAGAAAGCTCTTCTCCAATTATTTCAGCATATTATTTGAAAAAGTGCAGGCATGGGGGCAACCCTGGAACAGGCCCATAAATGCCAGGACAGCAGAGGGGTCACCACAGCCTGTTCGCTTCCTTTTATCTGAGCATTTGGTGCGGAAATAGCCCACCAGGGGCTTAAACAGACCCTTGCGGCAAACAGGGGTTTCGTTTACCGTTCCCTGCCTCACTTCCACGCCCAGAGAAAGCACCAGAAAAAGTTCTATCCGCCTCCCCCAGTGTTACACCATCAGCCACATTCAGAGAACACGTGGGCAGGGCAAGGAAAATCATTCCCTTTGCAGTATGTACTTGGAACACAGCTATCAAGGCAAGGTGCAAAGCAAATTTTTGGTTTGCTATGGAAACCTAAGGCCTTAAAAAGGCGGCGGGGGGAGTTCTTTCTAACTCCAAAGCTTGCTTCTAGGTTGTTAAACTTTAGAAATGGCCGAGCAATAAGGCAGAGCCGTAGCTACGAGGGGGGCGGGGGCTAGCCGGGTTTTTTGCCCCGGGTGAAGCCTCCGGGGGGCACCAGCCTGTTTGCGTTCGCGAATGCACGGGTTTTCTTTTGCCAGACTGGGTCTTTAACCCGGGTGAAATAAAGCCTAGTTTCGCCCCTGCAAGAAGGCAATGCATTTTCTCCCACGCTTTATAGCCAGCAGAACCAGCCGCAGGATCCAACAGAGCTCCTGCGAACCACCGAGGAGGCAGGATTGTTGCAGAACCGGTCTGTGCGCGCCTCTTCCCACACAAACGCCCAGCAGGAGCAGCAAACGGAGAAACCTGCGCGCTGACGGGTTTCGTCCGCTGCCTCCGACGAGCCTCGCCCGCAGCGCTCGCAAGGCAGGCAGACACGCAGCCCAAGAGGAACGTGGGGAAGAGTTGATTGCGCGCGACTAAAGGCTGGCCGCGCCTGGGAATGGGGGGGATTCAGGGGCGCGCGCCTCTTGCTTCCCGCCCCCGCGGGATTTCCGAGGGGCAAGAGGGGGAAAGAGGAGCCTGCCGGGGGCGGGGGGCGGGGAGGCAGCGAGAAGCCACGCCGGAGCCCCTCTCTCCCGGGCAGGCCTCGGCCTCGGCTGCCCGCCGCCCTCTGCGCGCCCCTGCCCCGCTCCCGCGCGCTGCCCCCGGGGCGAAGGCCGGCCGGGCGGCGCCCCACTTACCAGGCCCTCCAGCAGAGCCCAGCTGCGGCCGAAGTCGGAACTAGAAGGCTGGCAGGCCCCGCCTCTCCCGGCGGTGGGCGCGGCATCCCAGGGTCTCGTCGGCCGGGAGGAAGAGGGCGGCCGAGCCGGGCGGAAGACGCCTCGCCGCCGCCGCCGCTGCCGCCGCGCGCAGTGCCTGCCCGCCCGCCCTTGCTGCGGCGGCTTTATTCCTAGTTTCTTATTTGGTTCGGTTTCTTCTCATGCAAAGGGAGGGACTCCGCAGGGAGCGCGAGCCCCGGCAAAGGAAGCGGGCGCCGTAAAAGAGCAGAAAAGTTGTTTTCTTGGGACTCTCGAAAGGGCTGGAGTTGCGCACATGCGCGCCTCCAAGGGACCTCCATTTTAGGTTGGGTGCTTGCAGTGTGGGGCCGCCCTATTGAGCCGATGAGTCGGCTTTGCGGCTATAAAAAAATGAAGATGCGTATATATAGCGGGCACACGCTCCGCAGAAAAATGGGAAGGGGGGATTCTTGCAACAGAAAAATACAGATCGGCCTTGCGTTCCTCAACTGGTTCCTGCCTCCACTCATTCTTCTCTGACCAATAACGAGCAGCGTATCCTGGGTCCCTTGGTGGGAAATTGGGACTTTTAAAAGTCAACCCCAATTTTTATTATAATATTACTTAACTTTCCACTTTTGCATGATAAGCTGCGCCCAAAAAGCAGCCCACAGCAAACGTTGCAAAGCCTTGAAAAGACAAACGTGCAAGATGCAGAGTGTGCCAGTAATTTTTTTAAAAAGCAATTTAGCAGACGCAGAATAAATTGAGTATTACCCCCCCACACACACACACACATACAAACAACTCACCCAACACCAGTCTAGGCTTAAGTACATAAATACAAAGCAAAAAGGAAAGTTAACCCACAATAAAGTTTGTGGTACTGGTCTTGCTACACCCAAAGGCGCCTGGCTCAGTGGGGTTTGCTTCTGCACAGCTTGCATAGGAGTGAACTGCAAGACCACAGGGTGATGGCGTTCTCTGGACAGTGAGCTTGCAGTGGGCACTGTAGTTGACCCCTCACAGAGTTACAAGCCACAGCAACCCCAAGGTACCGATGCCCTCAAGTATTTTCAGGGGCAAGAATGTGCTTCAAAATAGGCTTTAAAGGAATAGCATGTATAAGGGGAAAGCTGGCTATAGGATAGCCAGACCTGCCTTATACCTGGACAGATTGTCAGCCTATCTTCCCCAGTATATTCTATTAACAGCTAGCATCCCTCACAAAGGGGTCTTCCCCATCATACGCAACTGGAGATCCTTTAAACTAACAAATAAAGAAGACTTAACTGAATCTGGGACTTTGCACATGCAAAGCAAGTGTGCTTTCACTGGGCAGTGGAGTGTACACTTTTCACCTGGCCTTTGTCATGTGCCAAAGACACATGAGAGCAGAAGCAGCAAAGCAGGCTGAGAAGTGCTGGGACTGCACAGTCATTTTGGGCCTACTAAAGTTACAGTGGTGCCCCGCAAGACGAATGCCTCACAAGACGAAAAACTCGCTAGACGAAAGGGTTTTGCGGTTCTTGAGCTGCTTCGCAAGACAAATTTCCCTATGGGCTTGCTTCGCAAGACGAAAACGTCTTGCAAGTTTGTTTCCTTTTTCTTAACACCGTTAATACAGTTGCGACTTGACTTCGAGGAGCAACTCGTAGAACGCGGTGTGGTAGCCTTTTTTGAGGTTTTGGGTGATTTTTGAAGCTTTTCCAAAACTTTTCCAACACCGTGCTTCGCAAGACGAAAAAACCGCAAGACGAAAAAACTTGCGGAACGAATTAATTTCGTCTTGCGAGGCACCACTGTATTCAGGCCTAACTGCTAACTGTGGAGTCACTCTGACACTGACTTAGTAGCCACTTCTCTTTTGTGCTCTCTAAGCTGTCAGTGAGAGTCTGTCTGTTTCAGTTGTGAACAGAGTCAGTATGTAATCTCAGTCAAACTGTTTGGAACCATGTTGTTTATGAAGAAGTTTATTTTAACTCAGTAAAGCTTTTATTCTTTAAAACTCTGCATTATTAATTTAACGCTGCGCGTCAGCCTTGCTGGCTAGGCAAACACTGCAGTCTCCACCCACCCCTTCCAAGGGAAATGCCACCCCTCGTTCCCTGCCCGCCCCACTGCCTACTGTGGGGAGAGTGGCCTGTTGAGCATGGCAGCTTGAAAGTAGCATAAGTGCCTTGAACCACCAGTATTCAAGACGCAGTGGAGACTGTTGTACCTTTAAGAAATATGATTTATTCACATATTTACACCTTCAGATTGCATGGAAGGAGTCCAGATCTTAACAGCATGGTCATGTCAAGCAAAGCTTGTTCCCCACAGCAGTGCAGCCATGGAGCCTAAGGCAGGGGTCGGCAAGGTTTCACCTGCCTGGGCCATTCAAGTCCCGCGGAGATCTCTCCGTGGGCCTGATTGCGCACATGCGATTTTACCGGCATCTGGACATGCACATATGTGATTTCTGGCGTCTGGGCATACGCAGACACGATTTTCCGCACCACACCGCACTGCTTAGCGCAGCGCGCAGGGACTCACCAAGCAGGCGGCTTGGTTCAGGGGTGGCTCGTGGGCCGGTTAAACTGCCCCCGTGGGCCACAGGTTGCCGACCCCTGGTCTAAGGCATCTCTCTCAGCCAGCCTGCCCAAGATGGATCTCTCTCTCTTCTCTCCAGCACGCTTGCAAAAGACATTCTTTACCTTTCAACTCACACCCAGTTACTCTAGCAACTTTCTATCCAGGCCCAAGATTCCTCTTCAATGAGCCATCAACACCTTTTTGTCATGTTAATGCCTCTATCCCAGGTGAGGTTCTGGCTTGGAAAGAAAGCTTGACCTGTATTTTTCCTCTGGCCTGCAATCTTCCCTTCAATTCTCCAAATAAAATCCTACCATTTATTAATTTCTAGGGTTTAGGGTGGTCCCCCCGCAAACTCACAACAGTATTTTTCAGAAACAATTGAAGACTTTTTTTATTTCAACAACTTGGGTGCTAATTTTGTATTGTTTTAAACCTATATTTAGCTATTTAAAAATATGTGTTAGCTGTTTTATGGTATGTTTGTAAATCATTTTGACATGCATTTGGAAGGCAAAAAATTAATATGAGTGAATAAACAATACAGCTTCAAAGTAGCTTTAGGAATTGGTGGTGTGTGCATAGGGTCGCAGCCTCAGCTCCCTCCACAAACCTGGGGCTAATAAAATCGGACTACAGTATATTGTGGAGAAAACCGTTTCCTTCGCCTCCCTCCCCACATCTGCAGTATGGGGATAATTGTGTCTACATCTGCAGCACATTTTTTAAAAAAATAAAGATAAATTCACAGCCAAAAAAATTTGTTATGCTATATATTGCTATATTTATTTTAATTATATTTCCTTTTATTTTTGTAATATTGAATATAGTCTGTTTTCCAAATTGCCGATTTTTGTCATTTTTGAATTTATTGCCTTGTTCTGTATTTTGCATATTTGTATTTCCAATGGTCTTTATTTTCATGTTTTTAAATGTTTGCTGTAAGGTGCTTTGGGTACAGCTCATGGTGGAAAAGTGACATGTAAGTAAATTAATCAAATCAATCAGTCCCCAAAACTACAAACTCCCATTTCTTTTGCTTCCCTGTTTTTGACTGAGGAGTTTGTGGAGCTGCCAGATAACAGCTGTCCTAAATAGCTAGGTTTTTCTGCTTTCTCCTGACGGCTGTTTTCACTTCTGCCCCACTAAACTGGAGGGCGATTGAGAGGGGTGGAGGAATAGTGTCAAAAGTTAACTGAGAAAGACTAGTCTGCAAAATGGACAAGTCTGGTCTGAACCAGGGAGAAGGAAACAATACTATAAAATGAGAACTGTCTGGGGCACAACCATGAGCAAGTAAGGTGCCAGCCTCAGGTGGCAGAATCCACAGACAGATCTTCACTCACCCCTTCTTCCCTGGCAGGGAGGGGGTACCATTTTGTGGTTTCCCTCAGGTGCCAAAATATATTGAGTTGGCCCTGCTCATCATGCTTGGGGCAGCTCCCCATATCCCGTATTGGGCTCTTGACCCCCATAGGTTAATGTTCAAAGTGGAACTGGAAGCAAGGTCCACAAAGTGGAATTCTTAAACTCAAACTCATTTGTATCTCTGTGGTTCCTGCTTTCATCAGAACCTCAGTGCCGAATTTATTTATTTTGATTTTTAAATTATGTGATAAAAAGTGGAAAGGTGGCATGGCAACCAGGAACAGATGGAGGGGATGCAGTTCTAGTCAGGTTTCTGTTTCTGGTACTTGAAAAAGAACAGGGCTTTTATTGGTACTCATCTCATTAAACTGAATTGGCTGCTACTGTTTAATTACCAAAAGGAATTTTCACCTCTGACCCACTGGCAGCTGTCAATTTAATTTCATACTTTTAGTTTAGATGGTGTGTTACTCTACATTTTCTTATCTCTTCCTCTTGTAGGAACAAATAGAGCAACTGTCATGACACTACAGGAAACCTCGGTTGCCACGGCAATGCCAAAGGGTAGTGGCCTTAGTGATTTCCAGGCTAAAGACTTCAGGTTCCCATTCGCAGGCGATAGGCTCTTCCGTGCAAAGATAGAGACGTGGAAATGCAGTAGCCAACAGTCCAAACTCCACATCCCCAGGTTCTTTTTAATCTTCTGGCGCCTCCAGGCCAGCCAAACACTGTTTTGCGGGGTGGAAGGCATGTTTATGTCAAAGCACTGCAGTGAAAAGGAGATTCTAGTTCTGCCCTTTTTTTACTTTATTGTCTTTCCAAGAACCGGTTTCCCGTTCTTGCTGTGGGGAGGATTCCAATAGGAGCTGGAACTGGGTTCTGGCAGAGAAGCAGGTGCATGCCCATGCTTAGTTCATTGCACTCAATTGAGCGTTGCCACAATACCTGCCCCTTTTCTACCTCTGCCATATTAACAACCTGCCACTTTGCACATGTGCTCTTGAACACTTGCTGTGTGTGCAGCACCTTGAGTTAATCGGAACAAATACTAACCATAGTACAGCAGAGTACCCAGTCACTGAGGACCTGTCTTCTGCAGCAGTGTTGCAGCTATGCATGTATGGTCAAACAGACTTTGCATGCATCACGGCCAAAGGAGCAGACTGATCACCAAGGACATACCAACTCTCCTCCAGTCACCATGGCTAGCTCAGTTTAGCAGCAAGCCTGAAAGGAATGTTTTATTGGATGCTAATGTGGCTGTTATTGTGAAACTTGTCATGGGGTCCTTGCTCATAGCAGCATTCTTGCTTCCTAGCCTTTGGTTATATAAGGATGCGATGTAAGCATAACATCAACAAAAAATTGCTTTGTGAAAAACATACATGCCATGAAGTCAAGGAAACCCTTTGAGTTATTGTGAAATCCCAGGCAGTTGTTTTGTAAAGAATGCAAACTGGAAGATCTTGAGGCTTAATCACAAACCTTGGGATGGGTTTCATCCATGGGCATCCTGCATGCAGCTGGTGGGAAAACTTCAGGACTTTGCTGACATTGGGGTTTTGAGGACTTCAGCTCCTTCCTCTAAAAGAACTATGACCTTTAGCTCCTTCAGATTAAAAAGACATTTGAGGGGTAAATTAAAGAACCCGCAGTGATAACAATCAGGACAGAGTCTAATTTTTATCTCTATGGTGCCAACTCTGAACTTTGTACACCTACTAGCAGTTTTTTAAGCTTTTGGATTGTCTATTTCTTATAGAAACTCTAACATACTGAGCAGAGTATAGTTTAAAGGTAAAGGTAAAGGACCTCTGACAGTTAAGTCCAGTCGCGAACGACTCTGGGGTTGCGGCGCTCATCTCATTTTACTGGCCAAGGGAGCTGACGTTTGTCCGCAGACAGTTTTTCCGGGTCATGTGGCCAGCATACCTAAGCTGCTTCTGGCGAAACCGGAGCAGCGCACAGAAACGCCGATTATCTTCCCGTCGGAACGGTACCTATTTATCTACTTGCACTTTGACATGCTTTCAAACTGCTAGGTTGGCAGGAGGTGGGACCAAGCAACAGGAGCTCACCCCATCGTGGGGATTCGAACCGCCAACCTTCTGATCGGCAAGCCCTAGGCTCAATGGTTTAGACCACAGCGCCACCTCAGAGTATAGTTTAGGAACTCACACAGACATAAAGTATTGGTGTGTTCAAACTTGAGTAGAGGTGGATTACTGAGCTAGCAAAATAATCTAATCCTCTCCTCATACACAAACATACTCACCATGTCCATTATCTCTTGAGCTCATGAAACCATTGATACTGCCAAAACATTTCCCCTCAATATGCACCCATAACTGCATCTTCCAGGGCATGAAAGGAAGTGAAATTCCATTTTGTTGGAAGCTGCTCCCTGCGCTTGAAATGGTACCCCAGTAACTGCCTAGAACAGTCTGCCCAAACTGGTGCTTTCCATATATTTTAGACTACAACTCCAAAACACTGGAACTTGGTTGACCTATGACCACAGACGATGGGAGCTGGTGGTCTGGAGGGTTGCCACAGGTTGCCCATCCCTACTCTATATGGTCTTGGACTACAAGTCTCATTATCTCTTACCATTGGCCATGCTGGCTGGGGCTGATGGAAATTAAAAATCCAACAACATCTGGAACCCACAACAGAAAGCCTTTTTGATATGATCTAACAACGCTACGCAATGCAATTTCCATTCTCCCACACACCATGATGGCTGTGCTCTGCCTCAGTGCTGGAGGCGCAATGCTTCTGAGTACCAATTGCTGAAAACTGGAGGAGAGGTGAGTGCTCTTGTGCTCGGATCCTGCTTGTGGGTAGGCATCTGGTTGGCCACAGTGAGAACAAGATGCCAGACTAGATGGGTCATTGGTCCTGAACCAGGAGGGCTCGTGTCTCTTTCATACACACACCCCATACCCAACAGGACACAGAATTTGCTTTAAAATATATTCTATATATGTTATTGGTTTTTCAAAATAACAAAACCGACATCCAACAGCACCCCCTTCTCACCCACCCCCTACCCTCCAAACAGAGGTTCCTGATGGCAAAAATATTTTCTTAAGCTCGTGTGTTACGTCAGGTTTTATTGTCAAACCTTTAAAGTCATCTACATTCATGTACTTATTATTAATTAAGCACGCAGTAACTGTGTTCTCTCGGGGAGTTGCAAGCAGTAAACATGCTCCTCCTCGGCGTCTTCTAATTAGAAAATAAATCATCCGTTGTTTTTTTAGAAGCCACAGCTCCATTGCTTGCAATGATGGATGCGTCAGATCAACCCCAAAATAATGGGTTTAAAAAACCAAAAACGTCTGGATTTAAGACGAACGCCTGGACACATACTGTATTGACTATCTGGGTGGGTGCGATTGGTGAAGTGGACTCTCGCGGGGTCTAAAACCTCCGAAATCGAGCGATTTACAGGAAGAGCAAAAGCGAGCGAGCGAGCGATTCTTCCAGGCGCCCCCTAGTGGCTGCCTTGAGGAGCGCCCGTCTGCCGCCGTCCTCTCTATGGTGCCCCGAGGCTTTCTCTATGGTTCTAAGGGATGGCCATGGCTCAGTCCCCTCCCACCTAGTCAGGCTGAGGGCTGGGCATTGTGGGGTGAGAGCGGACTCTGGCTGAACAGCCGGCCCTGCCACAGCCAGGCAGAGAGCAGAGCACCCGAGCTGGAGGAGGAGGAGGAGAAGGAGTGGTGGAGGGGGGGGCAGAGAGGAAGCCAGGACCAAGGGGCAGTGCCCCCCAGCCCACCCTCAGGGACACCATGCCAGTTGCCACAGCCAAAGTGGCAGCCAGGTTGGCCCAGGGGGTCACGGCGAAAAGAGCGGCGGTGGCACTCCTGGTGGCGGCGTATGGAGCCAAGAAGTTGTACCCAGTCCTGCGGCGACAGTGGGCTTCCTCTGACCTCCAAGTAAATGCCAACTCAGCAGGGCACCACAGTGCTGAAGAGCCAGCCTCCAAGTGGGGGGCAGCCGATGAGGTGGCAGCATCGCCACCCGGGGTCAACAGGGTGTTTTTCTTCCGCCTGCTGCGCCTGCTGAGGTTGCTGTTCCCTGGGCCACTGTGCCGTGAAACGGGGCTCCTGGCTTTGCACTCGGCCGCCCTAGCCAGCCGCACCTTCCTCTCGGTCTACGTGGCCCAGCTGGACGGGCGCTTGGCCCGCTGCATCGTCCGCAAGAACCCGCATGACTTTACGTGGCAGCTTCTTCAGTGGCTGCTCATTGCCCTGCCTGCAACATTTGTCAACAGTGCCATTCGATACCTAGAAGGGCAGCTGAGCCTGGCCTTCCGCGGACGTTTAGCGGACCATGCCTATCGGCTCTACTTTGAGGGCCAGACCTACTACCGCGTCAGCAACATGGACGGACGCCTGCGCAACCCGGACCAGTCTCTCACGGAAGATCTGGTGGCCTTCGCCAACTCCGTGGCTCACCTCTACTCGAACCTGACCAAGCCGGTGCTGGATGTGATTGTCACTTCCTATACCCTGCTCAGCTCAGCCAGATCGAAAGGAGCCGACACAGCCTGGCCCTCGGTCATTGCCGGCCTGGTGGTCTGCATCACGGCTAAGGTGCTGCGTGCCTGTTCGCCAAAGTTTGGCCAGCTGGTGGCTGAAGAGGCACGTCGGAAAGGGGAGCTGCGCTACATGCATTCCCGGGTGGTCGCCAACTCAGAAGAGATTGCTTTCTATGGGGGCCATAAGGTAAAGCAAGTGGGCAACGTGCCATGGTTCTTTGGGAGGAAAGCAGGGATCAGCTGATAGGAGGATTACTGGAAGCCAGGACTCCTGGGTTTCCGGACAGGGAATTATAGTGTAGTAGAACTGGAGAAACAGAGAAGGGTAGTTTATCCCCACCCTCTTTTGTTATATGTCTTTCCACTTTCTCTTCTTCCCCTGAGCTCCGAAACGGAGGCCGCTGACCCTGCCAGGCCCTGGGCCAGTGGAAGTGAAGTTGGCTTTATAGAGAGACAAGCTAGAGCTGAAACCAGCACCCTTGTTTACTTCCTTTTCTTTGTAGTCTTCTTCCTTGAATTTGTCCGAAAGCAAGGCTGAGGCCCTGACCTGAATTTATCCAGCTTCAAATCTGTCCATGTTCAGTAATCCTCCACCAGTCTAAATTTCCATAGAAACCTTTCTTGGTTTCTATTGCTCATGCTTGACTTCTGCCTCAACCGTCAAAACAGCCCCAGGCGTTTCCAAGTGTGGCACTTAAGGATTCCTGCACTGCCTTAGCGGAGGCGATTGGACGGCAGTTGCAGTGTGTTTATCAGACACCATTTCTGATCCCCAGATTTGGAAAAGCAATGGATCAGATAACATATAACAGTAACAGATGAGAGCTGGGAATCAGGGGATCTGGGCTCTTCCTGTTTTCTGAATCATCGTGAGGGTGGGGGGCGGGGGGGGGGGAAATGCTCTTATATTGAGGGCGATGGTGACTGAAGTTAATCGTCATTTTTATCACATGTCCACTGTAGTCGCCGCTCTCCATTCCAGCCCAGCTGTGTCAGGAACATTCCAAGGCCGAAAACTCTCCTGCCTTTGGCATCCTGCCCAAATTAAGGGTAATTGTAGGTCACATTCGCACACAGAAATACAGCAATGGGGCCAGCCTTTGTGCTTAAACATTTATTAGAACCATGCAGATTTGTGCACACATGCACACACACCTCAGACAAAAAGTCTACAGCAGCAGTTGCCCTTTAGGAAAAAGGAGTATGACCAGTATTAGTCATGATGACATTTGAATTGTGTCACCACTTGTGATGTTTAAGACAATTATCTCTGAATGTTCAGGGTTTTCTTAGGGCTATTGGATGCATTTGTGCTGTGCTTCCAGCTGCCCCCCGCTCCACTAGTCTACCTACCTGTGGCTCTTCAGCATAAGATGGCCTCCCACCAGTCTTGCACAGCAGATTGGAAGGGTGGGGGACACAGCATAGGACAAAAATACTACTCCCATATGAAAGCCATTGTCAGAATAGCAGGACTGTGGCTCAAATACAGTAGCCACCCCATCCCCATCTCTTTGAGACAAGATCTGTTAGTTGTCTCCTCAATGGCTTTAGTAAGTGGAGAACAGGAAATGCTGACCTTCCTGCCTTGGTACTCATTAACTTTGCCCTCCCTATTAAAGTTGTGGTATTGGTGCAGGATTATCTCATACCCCTTGGCACCTCCTGTATTTTTTCAGGGTGTTATTAATTATTATTACCATTATTTATTAAATTTGTATATTGCCCTAGATCTGCAGATCTAATAGAATTACAACATAAAAAACAAAAGATACATAGTAAAAATAAGAACAAGCCAATAATCCCCCCTCCCACAACACATTTAAAAGAGCATCAGATGTCAATCAGCAAAAGGCTTGGTTGAAGGGGAATGTTTTCGCGTGGCACCTAAAGGTGTATAATGGAGGTGCAAGGCAAACCTTCCTGGGGAGAGCATTCCATAATTTGGGAATCACAGGTAGATTTGGTTTGTTGCAATCCAGGCTCCCTGTCCCAGTGCGGCTGAACTAGCACTTTTGTAGATTTAACACCAGGCGAATTGCTGTTGTGAGGCTAACGTGGCTTGTACCACAGAGATGAAGGGACAGAGCAATTTCCCAATTTCAATTGCAGATAACTAAGGAGAAGACTAGGTATTAGCACCACACCCTGACCTTCCAGTAGTTAATTAAAAGCTGCCATTGGCCAGTGGTGTAGCGTGGGTTGCTGGCGCCTGGAACCAAGTGGGGCTGTGTTGTGCCGCCTCCTGTGCAGGCGCTGGCTGACATGACCCTTGGTGGGCAAAACCCCTCAATGCCTGCAGAGAGGAGCGCTGGGTCGGGCTTCCCTGGGGTCACCCTCGCTTCATCTGCATCCACTCACTGTGGACCTGGGCTGCTCTTGCTCCTGTCCAGGGAGCTTGGCACACTGAGCGAGGAATGAGCAAGCACTGGCCGGGCAGCCATTCAGTGAGGCCTTGGCATGGCATGGCCTGGAGAATGAAGGGTGGCATGGCCTCAGGAACGCAGCCTCAGGAATGTGAGGAAGGTGGACGGAGCCTCTTCAGTTGCCAGCCGTTGCCAGGGACATGGTGGCAAGGCCAGTTTGGGCTCCAGGGTCCAGAAACCCAGGGTGGCAGGCAGGCAGGCAAGGACGGGGAGCCTGGGACGGGGCCTTCCAGGATGTGCCTGGGTGGCAGTGGCGCAACCCCCTGACAGGCTACTTTGCTGCCTTTGCCAGGATAGGGATCCCTGCGGAAGCTGGTGGCTGTATGGAGGCGCCTGGTTCCACCCCCTCAGAATTTTGTGACCAGAGCGATAGCCCCCCTGGCCATTGGCTGTTACTCTATGAATGCAAATACAGTGGTACCTCGGATTAAGTACTTAATTCGTTCTGGAGGTCCGTTCTTAACCTGAAACTGTTCTTAACCTGAAGCACCACTTTAGCTAATGGGGCCTCCTGCTGCCGTCGCACCGCCAGAACACGATTTCTGTTCCCATCCTGAAGCAAAGTTCTTAACCCGAGGTACTATTTCTGGGTTAGCGGAGTCTGTAACCTGAAGCAAATGTAACCTGAAGCGTATGTAACTCGAGGTACCACTGTATTGTATTGCTGCATCCCTGCATCTATGTGATGAAAACCCTGACAAACCATTTAGCAGCAGTGAAGTGCTAGTAAAGTCTGGTTTTGGAACTGGGACTCCTTATTCAAAATGTGGCTTTTCAATTTGTAACCCAAAGTTCAGGGTGTGTGTTGCTATAGTACTTTTCTTATTTCTGTGGGCACACAGATAGTGGAAGCCGCACTTACTGGGAAGCAAGCCCCATTGCAACCACTGGAGCTTACTTCTGAGTAAATAGGCATAGGATTGTGCTATTGGAACAACTGAATTTTAGAAATCTTCCCCCTACTTTTTATCCTTGGGATTACTTTACACCTCTTTTCTCCTCCCTTTCAGAAAGGGAGGGACAATCTTAGGGCCAGTTCACATATTCAGGTACATCACTTGAGTACTTATCACTTGACAGTTACCAGTGACCCAACTCTTTTTTCTTTTCCCCCTGCTGCTGTGTCTTTAACAGCACATTGATTGGGCAAATATATGTTGATGAGGCTTCTCTTGTCATGGGGGTGGAGACTGCTGCCGTAGCTGCTGTTAAGGACACAAGAAACAGGGCTGGTTAAAATCTTAAGAGTTAAAATCTCTAAGAGTTCTGTCTATGACAGCAGAGAATTGCAATGGTTCATTCACATATGTCAGTCGTCCCTTAATTCTGTAGTCCTGAAAATAGACATACCGTACATGTAATGAACCAAACTGTCGTTCTGCCTCTTTCTTGTGGAAATTGCTTGAGTGCCTTTTAAGAGCTGGCTGGTGGTCAGTAAAGAAGGAAACTTTTCCTGACATGGAGATAAAGGAATGAGCAAAGCATCACCTGCCTTATTTATGCAGGTCAGTCTGCTGCTAAAAGCACTGAACCTGGTGGGAGTGGCTGCTTTTGAACCATTGAACTTTTTCATCACATGTGCACAGATGAAGCAGATTCTCTAACAAAGAGGTAATGCTACCTCTGGCCTCCAGGGAGCGTACAAAGAAAGTTTGCAGCATTTGAAACTTTAGTTTCTAGCAGTTCGAAAGCACGTCAAAGTACAAGTAGATAAATAGGTACCGCTCCGGCGGGAAGGTAAACGGCGTTTCCAAGCGCTGCTCTGGTTTGCCAGAAGCGGCTTAGTCATGCTGGCCACATGACCCGGAAGCTGTCTGTGGACAAACGCCGGCTCCCTCGGCCTATAGAACGAGATGAGCGCTGCAACACCAGAGTCGTCCGCGACTGGACCTAATGGTCAGGGGTCCCTTTACCTTTTTTAAAGGTGACTAAGAGATGGTAAAGGTAAAGAGACCCCTGACCATTAGGTCCAGCCGTGGACGACTCTGGGGTTGCAGCACTCATCTTGCTCTATAGGCCAAGGGAGCTGGCGTACAGCTTCTGGGTCATGTGGCCAGCATGACTAAGCTGCTTCTGGTGAACCAGAGCAGCGCACGGAAACGCTGTTTACCTTCCCGCCGGAGCGGTACCTATTTATCTACTTGTACTTTGACGTGCTTTTGAACTGCTAGGTTGGCAGGATCTGGGACCGAGCAACGGGAGCTCACCCTGTCGTGGGGATTCGAACTGCTGACCTTCTGATCGGCAAGTCCTAGGCTCTGTGGTTTAACCCACAGAGCCACCCACGTCCCTTTTTAAGAGGTGGTATGATAGAAGTTTATAAAATTATGTATATCATGAGAAAAGTGGAGCTGTTGTGAACCTCTGTCTGTCTTGAGACAATGGAGTGTGCCTCTGGGGGTGAAATCAAACCAGTATGTTAGCACCACCAAAGTGACCTCCCTGGGCCGGCACAAGCCTGGGCAGTATGTCTGGGGGTCCTGGGCTGCCCAGATGACAAGAGGTCATGGACATCCAATGAAACTGAATGTTGGAAGATTCAGAACAGATAAAAGAAATTATTCATTCACAGAGCTCTTAGTCAAACTATAGTACCGGTACTTGCTCCTACAGGAAGCAGTGCTGGCCTTCAAAGAGGGTTAAACAAATTCATGGAGGAGAGGGCTATCCATGGCTACTAGCGATCAGGCTCTGCTGTGCCTCCACAATGGGAAGCAGTACTGCTTCTGAATACCAGTTGCTGGGAATTTCAGGTTCTGCTGTGCTCATGTCCAGCCTGCAGGCATCTGGTTGGCTACTGTGAGGATGCGGGACTAGGTGGCTATTGGCCTGATCCAGCAGGATTCTTCTTTGGTTCTTAATTAAACTCCAAACATTGGAAGTAAAGCAGCAGTGCCCTCCATCTCAGCAGCTGCATTAAGGCAAAGTCTAAGGGCGTGGGATTTCAGCTGCCTGACTGAAGCTAAGCAGGTCTGAGTCTGGTCGCAGTCTGGATGGGAGACCTGGGAACCTCATAGGGGATACACCTGTATACAAATTATAAATAATAAACATCTCATCACCCTGCCAAATGCCATAATGTCTCCTGGCCTCCCCTCCAGGTGGAGTTGTCCCTTCTACGGCGCTCTTATCGTGAGCTGGCCTCCCAGATCAATGTGCTGCTCCTAGAAAGGCTCTGGTATGTCATGCTGGAGCAGTTCCTCATGAAGTACGTGTGGAGTGCCGCCGGGCTGGTCATGGTAGCTGTGCCAATCATCACCGCCACTGGCTATTCTGAAACAGGTGAGTGGAGGCAGTCTTTGTAATTAGAATGGAACAACAGGGTGACGGGAGCATGTTGGGTGTCACTTACTGATATAGTAATAAAGTAAATAATTGTTTGTTGGCAGGCGATACTTGAGAATGCTTTCAAGATGCCAGACGAAGTGCCCGATACCAGCTTGCTTAAGAGGCTTAGGGAGGGCATCAGACTAGGCATTGCTGCAGATTCTCCTTGCCCTCTGCTTGCCAGTTTTGCCACAGTGAGGTACATATAACCACAAAATTGCAGAGAGGGAAGAAAGCAGGATAGATGTGACATGGCAGCCCCTGCCTCAGCCACATCTTTCCAGTCCCGCCCCCCTTGCAGGAACAGATTGTCTGAGCAGTGAAGATGTGGAAGTGGCTGTAATCTTTGGGTTGAATTACACATTTGGCAGAGTCTGGGGTCAGGACATTCAAAACAGCTTCAAACTGACAGGAAGACTGTGTGATTTAGAGAAGAAGCTTAGGGTAGGGGAAGAAAATATAAGCTGTTTTCCTGAAGAACACAGTAAATGAATGTGCAGAATCTTAGATTGAACTGGGGCAGGAGATGATAACAAGGTGATTGAAGGTTGAAAGTATCAGGTAAGGAAAGGGTTAAGCCCTGCACATCCACTGCTTTAGTTTGGAGCTGCACCCTTTGCTTGCTGTTTTGCACCTCTTTGGAAGATACTTGCATTCCCAGTCCTTGGTCTTTGCTTTTAAAGGCCCACAACCATTCTTCACTCTCCCTGAGGTCAGTTGTTTTTGTGTGTACAGAACTGGAAACCTTCACTGCACATGAAAATCCCTAGCTATGGCACTGAACACAGATGTTGGTTTTCAAAAACGGCTGTAGCTGGGGAGATGTGAAGAGGAGACCCTGTTTTTCCTCCTTGGTTTTATAGGCAACAGGTGTCCTTGTGTTAATTGCAAGAGCTCCACTTATGGTGGAAGTGAGAGGAGTGGTAGCAGATTATACAGACAGCTCACAGTGAAACTTTACATGGGATGTAGTATTTAGAATGTTTAGAATGTTTAGAAGATTTTAAAATGTTGTATTATTTTATTGTTGTTAGCCGCCCTGAGCCTGGCTTCAGCTGGCGAGGGCGGGATATAAAAATTATTATTATTATTATTAATTCACCCTGTGTGTGTGATCCTGATTTCGTCAATGATAACTTGCTGGGCAGGTTGGCAGCTCACCTGTTCCATATATCTTCTTGAGTAATGATACCTAGAATGACATGAAGTGTGTTGTCAGACTGATAATCTTATAATGTCTAGGCCTAAGCCTAGGCTAGAGCCCTGCTGCCTACAGTTTTCTTTCTGGAAGTTATTTTTCTCTCCTGTTGCTCAAAGTTCTGGTGAAATGACCAATCAGGATCAGCAGTAGGTGATCAGGTTCCTCTTCCTGAGTTTAAATCTAATTATACAGATATTTGATGATTAAATGTAAAGGTATTACAGAAACCGAAAGGCTGATCATCCCAGGAAGATTTGTTGCTTTCTTTGTTGTTTTCGCTGTGGGTGTCTGAGCTGTCCCTGCCCCTGCCCTCCTTGAAGTCTGAAGAGGATCTTTGTTAGCTTAGTCTCTGGGACCTGCCCAGTTAGAGTAGGAGCTGAAGATCCAGTGATCCAGTACAGGCTGTTCAGGGGTTTCCTAATCTGGTTGCAGCTGTAGCATCTGCTACCAAGGGCCCCTCTGCTACCTAGATATTGTCTTAGCTGCTTTCTCCCATGTTAGCCAAGAGACAGACCAATGGCTATTTAAGCTACTCCTTCCTCCAGCACCCACATCTACAACAGGGAAGGCTCGCTCTGTCACCACATGTTCCTGACATTAGGCCCTGTATGCAGCCCCACTGCCCTGCAAAATTCAAGGGGTGGCAGAACAAGAGAGGTGTTGCAACATCTTCCCCTCCAACATGTGTCTGGCCCCAACATTGCATACCCTCCAGCAGACACACCTGTTTGCAGGCCTTTGGAGGTGAAGGTTAAAGATGGAATAACCGTTTTCCCCATGCTGTGTTGCTGCAGCTGTTTTGCCATTGTTAAGTTAATGCTATGGTTTTCAAGTATGGTTTTAACTGGAGTTTTAGCTTAATGTGCTGCTCTAATTTGTTTTATTGATTTTGGAATGCACCTTGCCCTGGGACATATGGTGAAGGGCAGGTAATAAGTATTCCAAATAAATAAAACTGGCAAACGAAGGAAATATTTAAGGGAATAACTCTGTTAAAACATCTTTGCTAACCACAAGGGTGCAAGAGAGAATGAAAGAGCCTTTTCCTGTGCCTAGAAGCAAATGCCTCAAATGCCTAGGGGAGAGGTTTCACCAATGCCAGTGATGCTGGCAGGAGGGAGTTTCAGAGTCCTCTGCTTATCTTTTCATTCATGCAGGAAGTAATCAGTAGGCAAGTGTTCCTGGCCAGAGGGAAAGGATTCCAGGTGAGAGCATGTGATTTCCAGGCAAACTCGGGTCCTAAAAACAGCTGTGGAGCTAGAAAATGGAGGGTAGAGATGTTGTCCTTGGAGTTTCTGCTGACCATGTCGGTTTCCCCTCCTATGCCAGACCCTGAGGCAGTGAAGCAAGCTGCGCTGGACATGGAGGAGAATGAGCTGGTGAGCCTGAGAACCGAAGCCTTCACCACAGCACGGAGTCTACTGAATGCAGCAGCTGATGCGACAGAGAGAGTCATCTCTTCTTACAAAGAGGTACGGATGCAGCTTGGCTGCTTGGGTTGACCCAGAAGGAACTGGGTTGGTTTGATTATCAATTGAAGGAAGGGAATAAGCCACGTCGTTTCTGTTTTCCTCTGAGGGGAAATCCTAAAATTGCACATCTCTGCAAGGCACAGCCCACACCCAGAAGGTTGGAAGACCTGGGAGCACAATGACCTGGCATCAGTTCCCAGTTGCACATCAGCGTCCTAGATTCTGCCTTACACGATCATGTTTTCCAACACCCACATGCAAGATCTTTGACCTAGTGCAGTGCTCTAATACTTCGTGGGATTGGTTTTGATCTGTAACAGACCAAATGGTTCAAAGCAGACATCTAATTTTGCCCTCCTATGTACACACTCTTGGGAATAATTCCCTTTGAACTTGGTGAGACTTATGTATAGGATCTGTCTAGAACATGGATCGGCAAACTTAAGGGCTGCAGGCTGGATCAGGCCCAATTGCCCTCTGGATCCAGCCTGCGGACAATCCTGGAAACACCACTTGAATCGGCGTGATCATTTGGACTGCGCCTTTTTTTGCAATTTTTTTCGGGCGCCATTTCCGCCCCACCCCCAAACACACAATGGCGACGCCTCCTCCGGGCTTCTCCCCGCCCTGCGGAGGACGGGAGCTGTGCTTTGATTGGTGCCAGCCATCCAAAGCCTCGCCACCCGCCTCTCCGTCCATGGCCGCGCTGTGGGCATCGTGACGGGTGTGTCAGGGGGTTTTGGCTGAAGCTTGGCGTGCCTGCTGGCCCCGCCACCTGGCACCCGGGAAAGCTGGCCCGGAAAGGAGAGGCAGCGCCAGCGGTGGCTCCCAACCGCAGGCAGAGTGGAGGAGGAGGTAGGAAAGCGAGGGGAGGGGAGGGGCTGGGGGAGAGAAAGAATACCCCCTCTGTCACATGCGTGTATGTGCGTGTGCAGTCTGGCTCACCTCTAGGTCTGAGGGGCAGTGAACTGGTCCCCTCCTAAAAAAGTTTGCTGACCCCTGGTCTAGAATAGGAATGAGCATAAGGTGGATCTGGAACTAGTGCGGTATTTTTGCAGGTATTTGTGACTCCCGATTGTTTAATAATTGCAGCAACAAAATGACATATCTTGCTTCCCAACCAGACTTCTAAAATGAAGAAACAAGGAGTAGATTTTTTACATGGAAGAACTGTGAACTCAGTTCAGTTCTGATAACTCAACACAATTCCCTGGGTTCAGTAGCTGCTCAAAGGCACCATGTTCTTTAATTCTTAGCACATGTATTCCAAACCAGGCTCCAATTGGTGGAGCTTGATGGTTCTAGGGAAATGCAATGTATATTCCACAAATCTGCCCTTTCCTAGACCAGAACATACTGTATTTCCTTTATTTCATCACACACTCTAAGGGAATCTCCACATGATTGGTCTTTAAACCTGATTGAAACTCTGGTTCTTTACACACTATACCTTTAAAGAACATTAGGAACTTATTCTCCTCCCAAAAATCCTGGGCACTGTAGTTTATCCCTCACAGAGTTACATTTCCCAGCAACCCTTAACAGACTAGAGTGCCCAGAATTTTTTGAGAGAAAGAATGTGCTTTAAAGGTATAGTGTATGCATAAGCTTTGATTGAAACGGGCCAATAAAACTCCAGGTTAGACATCTGGGACCCTCAGTTAAAGAGATTTGAAACTTATTTAAATGTGTTTCGTCTCACACGCACGCACGCACGCACACACACACACACACACACACACACCGCCCTGCCATCTAATGGCATCCTCCTAACAATGCCAACTATGTGCCCCAGGTAGAGAGAAACTGCCAGTGGTTACTCACAGGAACTTCCTAGGGAACTCTGCCTTTGGAAACGTTTTCTTCTGGGAAGGTTGCTGAAGCAACCTCCTGCAACTTTGGGAAAGGACCTTGGCTCAGTGGTCAATCAGATGCTTTGCATCCGGAAGGTTTCAGGTTCAATTCCTGGCATTGCCAGTTAAAAGGATCAGATGATGGGAAAGGCTGAGATTTAAGACTCTCGCAGAGCTGCAAGCCCAACAATAATGGGCTACATATATGAGACCAAGAGTCTGACCTGGTATGTGGCAGCTCTCTCTACTCATTAGTGGGATGCAGTTCTGTGTGTGCTTGGGAAAAAGGAGCATTGAGCTATATGGGAATTCTGAGTAATTCGGCATATTAAAACTTGACAGACTGAGCTGGTTTCAGGAGTCTGGAGCGAAGCCAGAAGGTCTGTAATATTAGTGATTGTTGTGGGGTTGTTGTTTTTACCTGTATGCTTGGAGTGATTTCCCAATGCTGGATACTCTGGGTAACACTCATTGACATCAATGGGTTTACTCTATGAGTTAATGGATATCAGTGGGCTTAATGGGATCTACTCTCAGTGAGACTGTTGTTGTTTAGTCATTTAGTCGTGTCCGACTCTTCGTGACCCCCTGGACCAGACTCCTGTCTTCCACTGCCTCCCGCAGTTTGGTCAAACTCATGCTGGTAGCTTCGAGAACACTGTCCAACCATCTCGTCCTCTGTCGGCCCCTTCTCCTTGTGCCCTCCATCTTTCCCAACATCAGGGTCTTTTCCAGGGAGTCTTCTCTTCTCATGAGGTGGCCAAAGTATTGGAGCCCCTGCTTCAGGATCTGTCCTTCCAGTGAGCACTCAGGGCTGATTTCCTTAAGAATGGATAGTTTTGATCTTCTTGCAGTCCATGGGACTCTCAAGAGTCTCCTCCAGCACCATAATTCAAAAGCATCAATTCTTCGGTAATCAGCCTTCTTGATGGTCCAGCTCTCACTTCCATACATCACTACTGGGAAAACCATAGCTTTAACTATACAGACTTTGTTGGCAAGGTGATGCCAACATTAGTCTCAGTGAGACTAATGTTGGCTATTACCAAGAACATCCCAACTCCAGCCCTAAAAGCTTCGTGTTTCCCTTCTGGGCTAAGGTATGTTACTTGCTGCTTCCTAATTCAGGTGACTGAGCTGGCCGGGTACACTGCTCGCGTACATGAGATGTTCCAAGTGTTTGAAGAGGTGAAAGCCTGCAACTTCCGGCGCCCTGGAGAACTTGAGGAGGGTCAGGCTCATGCTGGAAGAGTGATGAAGCATGGCGTGCGGGTAGAAGGGCCGCTCAAAATCCAAGGTAAGGCCTTCAGCTCCAGACTGTATTGGGCTGACATGGCACACCTGCACTGCTGCTGGCCTGGTAACTGTGAGATGCATCCTGCTAGATCAAGAGATGATGTTCACGTGGTGGCAAGGATCAAACCAAGATGGTTATCTTATTTACAATTACTCAGAAGTCCCATAAAACCCAATGGGACTTTCGGCCAAGTAAACATGCACAGATATTGGGGTACAGGAACCCAGAGACAGCTGCATAGCTTCCGTCAGATCTAGTTCTCAGTGAGCTGGTAAACCTGCGCCTGGGCTATAGCACTTCGAATTGCAGGTCGGGGCTCCCGTGACTGAAGGCACTTCATTACAAAACAAACCACGTAGGAGCCATCTTGCCAGGGGTTCTCTCATCTGTATTCCTGCCTTTTCTTACTGCAACATGCAAGGGAGTTACTTGTGAGTGCTTAATTTTAGTTACTTTTTTTTGTACAGTCCAAAAGAAAGAAAGGCAGCATGTCAGAAGGCTTCCCCCAGATAACAAGGGGGGGGGGAGGGTTGTGTGGAGGTTTAAAAAACATGTTTCATATGGAGGGGACTTTTCAAGGGAGCTCTTGCACCAACAATCTAAAGTGGTACATTCCGGATGCATGTTTTACCACCTCGGTGAGAACTAGACCTTTCTGCCAGCAAGTCAGAATTGTCTCCTGCCTGCTTGACTGTGCACCTACTTTCTTTCCCCTCCTTTCCTGAGTAATGCACATAGCCCTGCCAAGGAGAGGCAGATTGGTAATTGCTCTATAGCACAATAGATGCTAGAGCATCATCCTGTACATACAAATACTGATTTCAATTCTTGGAGTGCCAGTCCTTATGTAGCCAATATAGTATCACCCGTGCACAAGAGGGAGGCATTAACAGACTCAGGGGAACACTGCCATTTGAACTACAAAAGAACCTTTAGAGAAAGACATGCGAAAACACTGAGCATGCTCAATGGGCACCTAACGCTGACTGTCTCTTGGGAGGTAAAAATGGAAAGATGGAGTGGCGGGAATCCTGAATAGGGAGCACTGCACTGCAACATTTTGTTCCAGGTCCAAGGTATGGGGAACCTTTGCCCCCCATGCCACTGCCATCTGCCTCAGCTGGCGTGACCAATGGCCAGGGACAGTGGGAGGGTTAGCTCAGCAACATCTGGAGGACCAAGGGTTCCCCACACCTGCTTTATGCTATGGACAACTAACCTATAAAGCATGGATAAATGAAAAGACAAAGGAAACACAATCCCAAACTACTTTTGATGAGTTGATGGCTGTGTCAGTTGCCCATCTCTAGTTGGGGAGTGGGCAGTCTGTGAATCCAGAGTCTGTGCCTGTAAGTTTTGTTTCTCTGCTGCTCTGTGTCCGCTCTTACTTCTTTTTTTGGTGTCCTGCTTCTCTTCTTGTTCTCTCTCTTCCACCAAACCCTTCTCTTTCTCCAGCATCATCTCCATCTGTCCCAAAGCAAGTTCACCTCCTCTTGTCTTTGCCCTCACATTTTACACCTCTCTCTCCATCTCTTCATCCTGCAGCCCATCACATCACGGGAGCAGGCATTGTACCTGCTTCTTGCTCTCTGTTGACAACAGCTTCCCTGGTTATTATTAAAATGTACAGTTCTAGGCCAGAGTCTGTGCTGGTAATTCTGTTTTGTGCGTGTTCATTAGATTTTTATCTTGTCTTTCTATCAAACGAAATGGCTCAAGTGACTTACAGAGTTGAAATTTGCAAGTTGACAAGGCTAGGGCTGTGGGTATTCTGTTCATTAAAAAAAAAAACCTGCTTAAATTGAGCTTAAATTCAGGGCCCTGGATAAATTATGCAAATTAAGTATATTTCTCTGATATGTTTTGCATAATCTATTGACAACATTGCACAATAGGTCCTGTTTCTGTTAGTCATGGGGGGTGGGATATGCTGGCAAAGGAGCCCCCCTGCAGAGAGCAGTGTTGAACCCTCCACTCTTCAGCTGGAGAATGGAGACGTCAGTCCTGCTGGGTCCTACAGACTCCTCCACCCATCTTGCATCTGATGATTGGCAGATGAGTGGTCCCACACACCTGTCAAAGCTGGCTCATGGGGTTGGGGAAATAAAGATCTTAGCCCACTGGGCCAAAAAGACTCCCCACTCCTGCACTACAAAACTGTTGCCTCAGTGGCATTGTTAGTTCAGGAAAACGTGCAGAAAAGGGCATCCAAAGTGATCAGTGGGTGAAGCAACTTGCCCAGGAGGAAACATTACAGCTCTGGGGGATTTTCAGTTCAGGAAAAAAAGTGAATAAGGTAGGACATGACTAAGGTTCACAAAATGCTGCATGACATGGAGAAAGAGACATTTTCCTCCCTTCATCACAACTCTAGAACTTGGAGTCATCCTGTGAAGCTAGTTGATGGGACATTCAGGACAGAAGTGCTTCTTCCCCAAGCAATAAGCAGTGAAATTCACTTGCTCAGGATGTGTGGACAGCCACCTTCTTTAAAGGTGGATAAGGGAGGATTAGGCTGCTGCTGGCTGCAAGGCATGATGCCTATATGTTACCTCCAGGGTCAGCGTCTCTCTCCATGCCAGTTGCTGAGAGTAGGCCATTTTCCTCATGTCCTCTTTGTGGGCCTCTCAGCGGCATCTGGCTGGTCACTGGGGAAATGGGATGGTGGACTAGACAGACCTTTGGTCTGATCCGTCAGGGCTGTTTGTATGTCCATTGGTTATCACTGGATCCTCTAAGATGGGACAGCTCTGGCAATCCTACCAGCTAATGGCTCATCCTAATACACTTCCTCACCTGTTATCCTGGCTTCATCCCATAAACAAATACCAGCTGAACCTCCTCTGACCTGACCGCAAGTTGACTTCCAGTTGGGTCAGATAACATGACAGCAGTGGAAGGATAACTATTTGTCTCCTGTGCCTTGAAGGCTGAGGAGGAGTTTTGGCAGGTACAGTGTTCCTCACTTTGTATGAAGTGGCACCTGTCAAAGTTATGTCTCCCATTTGGTTTGCAATAGTACAGCAGCCCTCCTTTCCATCCCATTATTCTCCCTGGCCTGGCTGGATTAGACCAGCAGGGCTTTGGGTCCTGGAGCCTCTTCTGGAAGCCATGCTTTGTTCCCAGAAACATATAACATAAAGTCATGTGCATGTTAATACCAAATGGAGGAGTGCACATGAGCATGTGCAGAATGCCTTAATCTAACCAGTGAGCCATAGCCATTCCCTGCAGATCCAGTGTCAGAGAGGGGCCTGTCGCAAACCATCCTGAGGACTGAGATGGACAACGTTTAGCAGATATAGGGGCTCCACCTTGCATTCTTCCTCCATTCCCAGGCAAAGTCTAAATTTGGGCTTGAGCAAGAGAGGAGACAGGAGGAGGATTGTGAGAGGGTGTGCTGCCCCCTTCTGGCTGAGCCTGTGTTCACTCTTGCAAGGGTTGGAACACTGTCTTTCATTGTGGATTTGATATCCAGTCTCTTCCTTCCTTCCACCCACATCCCATCCCATCCCACCCCACCCCATTTTGCTTACAGGACGTGTGGTTGATGTTGACAATGGAATTGTCTGTGAAAACATCCCCATCATCACCCCCACTGGAGACGTCGTGGTCACCAGCCTCAATATTCGGGTAAGTAGTAAAAAACAAAGTTTGAAAGCGGGGAGCAGGAGCCGGGAGACTTTGGCTGAGTTGGCTGTGCCTTTAACAGTTGCCCGATATCCAGGAATTTGCATGTGATAACATTGATCCCTGTATTCCAATGCCATGAGAAGTTTGCAGACTTCTGCAGATCAACTTGCTCATGAAGGCACGGGAGCAGAGCAGACCCCATTTCCTTTTTTGCTACTGGTTGCTAAGCCTGTTGTGTATTATTGCTTGAAATTCTCTTCTGTATTGTTGCTTGAAAGATATATCCTAGGGCAGAGTTCTAACATTGAGAGGTTTCTAACGCTGAAGGCCTGGAAGAACCTTCTTCAGATTCAGCAGGGTTGTTAAAAGAGAGATGGAGATAAGGCTGGGCTGAGATTGCAAGCTTTTTTGTCGGTAGGAGATATGAAGCAGCAAAGTTGAGGGAAGGGGGTGGGTGGGACAGAGAGTCCCTGCCAGTGCTGCTGACTTTGCAAGGTCAGGTAGGAGGAGCAGGGGGTGTGGTGTTGGGGGGGGGGCTGATAAGACCTTGATCACTGCCTTCTCTTTATTATATTTTGCAAGAGCATAGAAAGAGCTGGAAAATCGGCCAGAGTACGGGAGTGGGGCGAGAGAGAGAGAGAGCCTGACGTGGCTCAGAGATAGTTGTCAGGGCACCATAGGGGTAATGTCACTTGGCAGGTGGCCTAAAGTGGCTGGCAGATCACAGATTTCTTACGTTCTGGGCCATTTGGGGTGGGAGTGGGGCCAGGTTCCCAAGGCAGGGGAGTTGAATCTATACTCCAAAGGCCAAGGAGAGATGGGGCAGGGGAGTCTGGCCTTTACAGGTCCAAGGCAACCAAAAGCGACTTACAGCCAACCAACCAACCAACCAAATTAACAACAAAAACAACATAGATACATTAAAACTGAGGGGGGGGGGTGGAGGGAAACAGTGCATTAAAAGCATCCCACCCACTTCTAAAAGGCCACAGATAGTGAAAGGCCAAAGACCTGGCTATAGAGAAAAGTCTTTGCCTAGCACTTAAAGATTTATAATGATGGTGCCAGACGAGCCTCCCTGGGGAGAGCATTCCACAAACCGGGAGCCACCACAGAAAAGGCCTCTTCTCATGTTGCCGCCTTCCAGACCTCTCATGGAGGAGGCACACAAAGAAGGGCCTCCCGTCATGATCACAGGGTTCAATTCAGTTCATATGAGGAGAGGTGGTCCTTGAGCTATTGCGGTCCTGAGCTGCGTTATAGGTCCAAACTAGTGTATTCCTTCTTACAAACCTGCCTGGGCTCTGAGATCTTCTGGGGAGGCCCTTCTCTCGGTCTTGCCACCCTCACAGGCGCACTTGGAGGGGGTGCAGGAAGGGCCTTCTCAGTGGCTGCTCCCAGGCAACTTTGGGACTCCTTCCCTAGAGAAGCTAGACTGGCTGCTTCCCTGCTGTCTTTCTGCTGTAGGTGAAGACATTCTTGTTCCAGTGAGTTTTGGGGAACTGACTGCTGTTCCCAGTGCTGTTTTTGTTTTGATGTGATTGTATTTTAAAAAAATATACATATAGTTTTAATTCTGTTAATGTTTAATTGTTTTTCAGTGATTTTTACCTCTCTATGTTTTTAGCTGTTCTTTTTTATCTGTAAGTCACCTTGAGTCCCTGTCAGGAAAAAAGGTGGGTGATAAATAATAAAATAATAATAATAATAATCAGACATACTACTCTCTGATGTCTTCTTGCAGGTGGACGAGGGCATGCACCTGCTGATCACTGGCCCAAATGGCTGTGGGAAGAGCTCACTGTTCCGGATCCTGGGGGGACTCTGGCCAACATATGAAGGCATCCTCTACAAGCCACCCCCACATCGTATGTTCTACATTCCACAGAGGTACAAAGGACCAGTATTCAGATGTCTGCAGGGAAGGGAAAGGCGGGTGATACAATGGAACAAAAAAGAGAGAACCTAAGACTCCTGGTTGCTCTTCGTGGGGCTGAATGTGTTAAAATTAGGAAATAGAATCATAGAATTGTGTAGAGTTGGAAGGGATCCCAAGGGTCATTAGTCCAACCCCCTGCAATGCAGGAATCTCAGCTGAAGCATCCTTGACAGATGACCATCCTGCCTCTGCTCTAAAACCTCCAAGGAAGAGTCCACAACCTCCCGAAGGAGAGCCTTCCAATGTGGAATAGCTCTTGCCTTCAGAAAGTTTTTTCGGATGTTTAGTTTGAATCTCCTTTCTTGTAACTTGAAGCCATTGGTTTGAGTCCTACCCTCCAGAGCAGGAGAAAACAAGCTTGCTCCATCTTCCACGTTGTTTTAGCATTTGCGTGTTTGCCGTCCTGGCTTCCTTGGGAGGAATGGTGGGATATAAATTGTGTTGTTGTCATATTAATATATTTGCACACCAAGGAATATTATGACTTGTCTGCTTGGTATCTCATGGTAGGCCATACATGTCTGTGGGAACCCTGCGAGACCAAGTGATCTACCCAGACACTGCAGAGGACATGGCACGGAAAGGGAAGACGGACGCTGACTTGGAGAGGATCCTGGGCATTGTCAACTTGAACTACATTGTGCAGCGTGAGGGAGGTGGGTGCAACCAGGAGAGGTGGGGTGAGCATGAGCGAGAGAGAGAACACACAAACCTTTAATTCATGGGAGACAAATGGGGAGGGAAATTGTCATTTCTGCTTCCTTTGCCTCTGGCTGTGTGGAGCAGAAAGTGAATGGGCAAGCAGGGCGCATGGGAGGGTCTGCTGCACCATCTGCATTGACCAATGAAATCTCTTACCTTTCCATCCATGGGCGGGGCCAGGCTGGGAAGCAGTCAGCGACTGGAAGGATGTGCTCTCTGGTGGCGAGAAGCAGCGCATGGGCATGGCCCGCATGTTCTACCACAGGTTAGTGCCTACAAGTGCAGTGAGACGCCTGATTATTGGCCGCTGCTGCTATTCTGTGCATGGGATTCAGTTGCATTCCAGCAAATTCACATAGAGTAATTAAAGTGGCTTTGGCAGTCTTGTGCAACAAACCTACTTCTTTAAAAAAATGGGGGGGGGGGGTTTCAGTAAGGAAAGTGACAGGAAAAAGCATTGGGAAGCAGGAGAGAAGAATCACTTGACGCAATGTTTGTATAACCTCTTGGCAAATAAATCGGGGTGAGTGCTATGTAAGCAGCAGATATTTCATAACCTTCCCACAAACTTCGTGCAAAGAAATGAGGCAGGTTGTCTGGAATCAACCATAATCCCCCTAGCAGAGGACTACCCCAGTGTTGTGCTTTCCAGACATTGTGTACTACGACTTCCATCAGTCCATGGCCAACAATCAGGGAAGATGGGACTTGTAGTCCCGCGACCCCTTTTCTCGCGGTCCCTCTTGCATTTTTGCTCATCCTGCTGCCGGCTGAGGATGGGAATGCAGTGTGTCCTTCCATCAGTAGAAAGGCAGCAGAACCAAAGCTGAGACCAGCGAAAGTCACACCAAAAGGGTGATATTGGGAAATACTGCCAGGATCACAGCTGAAAGGTGGAAGAGGCGCAGATTAGATCAGGAATTGTGGAGGGAGGTGCGGAGGGGAAGGTGGAGGACTGCAGTGTTAGGAGTGGCCGTGTACAGACTGGCTTGGCCAAAGAGCCACTTTGGGGTCTCTCATTTGGGCTGCTGCTCTTCCTCCCTAGGCCAAAGTACGCTCTCCTGGATGAATGCACCAGTGCCGTCAGCATTGATGTAGAAGGCAAGATCTTTCAAGCTGCAAAAGATGCTGGGATAGCATTGCTCTCGATCACCCACCGACCTTCACTCTGGTATGTTTTGTGCTCCACCCACAGTCTTCTGCCTGGTATGTTTCTTTAGGCCTTTCTTCCTTTGGAGCCCCTTGATCTAAGGACTTTATATACATCTATCTCACTCTTCCATGGGGCTCCCAATGGTCTTCCCGCTTCCATTTAATGATTCTACAGTACTGGCTGCTCTAGGATCACTCTCCTGTCCTGCTCAGGGAGCTTCCTGTCTACAAGACCAGGACATCCAGGCTAGTTAGTTGGAGTCATTTGGACACATGTTTTCTCCCTTCTTGCCCATCAGCTGTTTGTGGAGTCAGCTGTGCCACACACTGGCCCATGAGTGGGGCTTTTGAGAGAGCAGGGAAGGCTGGGGAGATCCCTGCAGCAGCGTGCCTCCTCACGCCCTCAGTCTCCATGGTGGTACACCTCTGCCACAAATGGAGCAGTTTCTCCACATACCTGATTTACCAGGCAGGATTCCCTGTGGGCCACCCCTTATTCTCTCTCTCTCTTTCTCATACAGGGGACAGGGAATTGGAGAAGGAGGATGGGGAACCATCTGAGCATTAGATGAGAAGTGGACTGGCAGGCTTATTATGCCTCCAGGAGTCTGTCCACACTTCTACATCCATTTACTCTGCTTCTACCTATCCCTATGATTGTTCATGCTTTTATATCCCCCCCTTTCTCCCCAAGAAGCTGGAATGCCAGACCACCCCACCTGCCAGACTCCTCCCCCCCAGTATCAGAGTCAGTATCTCCCCATCCCAGCTTTCATCATACCCCCAAACCTCAGTTGCCACTGCATGAACCCCCTTCCTCCTCTGGTTCACACTTGGCACTGCCACCCAGACAGGGTAGGAAAGGGTTGTGTCATTAGTGAGCCTGGAGGCAGGCCCTGTCATTTCCTCTGTGACCAGTAGAGGCTGCCATAGAGTGGATCACCTGTCTGGTTCCCCTTTGCTCGACCCGGACAGGGAAAGAGGGGTTTTGGAGGAGGACCTAGAATAACCCACTGACTCCAAAAGTCCTGTGTCTTTAATAAACTGAAGCTTTATGACAGCAGAGGATGCACCTGCTAAAATCTTCCTTTCTGCACACATTGTGAAAGGGACAGGAGACTGTTTTTGCATAGAGTCTGGCTGCGCCTGGGCCTGCCCACCTTGTCCTTTCCTGCCCCCAGAAGACTTCCTATCCTCCCCGCATCTCTCCCTGTTTCCACCGCCCCTCCAGTCCCTGGCTGTCTCCCAAGCAGGGAGTCACGTCCCCAGCAGGAAGCCGTGTGGGCGGAGGGGGGCATCAGAGTCTCATCCTTGGAGACTGAGAGCCGCTTTGTTCCTGACTCCCCCAGAGACAGCTCAGCGGAAAGATCCCTCCCCAGGAGCAGGCAGGGATGCCAACCCCACCCACGCACAGGGCGCTCGCTGGACTCCGAGGAATGAGGGGCAGCAGCAAGAGCTCCAGGCCAAGCGCACGGGGGTGTGGGGTGTGGAGAGATTGCTGGGAGGCCCGGAGCAAAGCGTAGCACAGACCAGCATCTCAAGCAGCCCTTCCCTCTTCACTTTCAGGAAGTACCACACCCACCTCCTGCAGTTTGACGGGGAGGGGGGCTGGCGTTTTGAGAAGCTGGACCCTGCAGCCCGTCTCTCCCTGCGAGAGGAGAAGCAGCGCCTGCAGCAGCAGCTGGCCGGAGTCCCCAAAATGCAGCAGCGTCTCAGTGAACTTTGCCAAATCTTGGGTGAAGATACGGCCTCTCCAGCGGGACACATCTGAGAGAGCCAGGCACCCTGAAGCATCCCCTCACCATTCCTGCCCCAGCCCACTCGGCTGAGTGCTCAGTAAGAGGATCCCGGCTGCTTTCCTTTCCTCCTGGGAGCTGCAGAAGAAGGCCGGCTTGTTGCCCTGGCTGCTGAAGGAAGAGTCACGTTTTCTCTGCTGGGGCATCGCTTATTTCTGGCACCTGTTGACTGTGCCCTTCGCCACCTTCTCTCACTTAGCCTGCCTCGTTCTAGGACTGGAGGGAGGGAATGGGTCACCTCGTCCTGACAAGTGACTCTGAAGTTTTCTCTCTCTCCCACACACACACCTCACACACACAGTGCCTGAATATCCCAAGATAGTAACGCCAAAGCGTGGGTTTTGTTGCCCCACTGCCATTCTCTGCCCTCTGCATCTGTGGATGTTTTGGAGTGAGCTTCCAGCATCAGCCACACCTCAGAGGCCTGGAAGGTTCAGCAGGACCGGTCTCCGCCTTTCTCCACACAAAACAGCCGCACAACATTTGATACGAATCCAAGCCATGAATGTAGCTCTTGCACCTTTCTCCCTGGTGGCCTCCTTTTCGCCACAACTGGGCTGTAGAAGCTGGTTGCATAGGGCAGCACCAAAAACCCCTCCCCTTCAACCTTCACCCCCTGAGCTCCTCTTGAGGAAGCCTCCTTACCTGGACACCATGTGGGTGACATGGCAGCCAAGGGAGCAAGTTAGGAAATCCACGTTGCTCTAGATCAGTAATTTTCAACAGTTTTCTCTGAAACCTTGCTGTTCCTCAGAACTTACAGAGAGCTTCCCAGTGGGTAAGTTATGCAAGGCAAGCGGTCAAAAAACCTCACCACGACATCTTTGACCGACCTTCCACAACTGTTTCAGAATGTGGGGTTGGTTCATTTTTCTGGGGCAACAGTTTAGGTCTGCCTCATGCCCTTACAAACGGAGTGTGTGGCCTAAGATGCCTCTCACACTGCAGGGGTCCCAGACACAAATTGGGTCCTCAGCAGATAAGCCAATATGGAGTCCCCTGAGGTGGGAAGCCTTGAAAGCCACGGTCCTGGGCTGTCTTGGGCCCCTCTTGTGCAACTCTGTAGAACATAAAGCCCTTCCTGAGGCTTTGTCCTCGTGGCTTCTAATACTTTAGTCCCTTAATTTTGAGGGACTGGTCTTCCCTGTGAAGGCCAGCTGAAGGCCCCGTGCCATTTGCTTAGGGCACTTTCTATGGGAACTTGCTGAGACTTGATTTCCATACAGCTATCCTTTAGGACTTGTTCTCCTTGAAATAGCAGGAATTCTCCTGGGGTCATTTCCCCTCGTTTTCTAAAGCAGGGTGGAGGTGGAGTTGGAGGTAGAGAAAGAGAAAGAGATGTTTTTGTATACAGACAACAAGGCCTCAGCCAGTGAAGCTGCATTAGTTCAACTGCACAGCATATATCCACATTAGGAGGAGTGCAGCAATTTGGGTCTTGCCTCTTGCCATGTGCGTGATGCGATGGAGAGAGGGAGCATGTGGCAAAGGAACTAGGATTGCTGGTTGTCCCCTATTTCACTTATGCCAGTGTTAGTCTGCACAGATGTGTCTATTCTTAAAAACTGAGCCGCCTTTTAATTAGTCATGAAGGTGATTGGTGCTGTTGTTGTTACTGTTGTTGTTGTTGTTATTGTTATTGTTAGAAGACTCACTGCCAGTTGTGTTTTCCACGTGAAATAACAGACCAGCAAGCTATTAATGATGTGTGCTCCCATGTCCTTTAAATGCACATTTAGCTACAGCCATCACACAGTTATTTGTTTTAAATATTTCAGCCGTTGGCTTTGATGGGGGGACATCAGGGTTTGCCTCATGTACTAGGTTCTCTCCCCTCTGCCCTTTTGCACGGGTATTTCCTCCTCTCCCCGCTTGCCTCCCTTTCCCAATCCTGCTGCTTCCAAGCACACCTCATCTTCCTAAGAAAGCAAAGAAGATGCATGGTTGCTTAGGGGAAATGAACCCTCGGCTCTCCCTTTGTGAAACATCTTGCACTGGCCTGCAGTCGTGTGGGCTACCATGCTTGGCCCTTGAACTTAACTGGCAGCAGCAGAGTCTGGCAAACCACCCGCTGTGTTAACTTTCCCACAGTGCTCCAGAGTGCCTGACTTAGCAACACTTTGCGTGGTGTGCAGCAACTCGGGCCCAGCGGCTGCTGACGTATAAGGCCTTAGCCAGAGGGGAGGGGGCTCAGAGCTATACCAGCCCTGCAACCTGCATTGACTAAATCTCTGTTCTTGCAAAAAACAGAGCAGGAGGCATCATTTGACAATGAGGCTGCATTAAGCTGGGTGGCAGGCCTGATTCCACAGCTCTGTGCCCAGGGACACCTGGCAACTGGCCCTCTGGCACCTGGAACCCTGCTTGTCCCATGGGGGAGCCATCCCTGATTGGGATAGACGCATTGCTCTCAAATGGCATGTTGCTTCTGGAGGAGTAAAACCACAGCTTGGCAGCCCACAGCCTGTAGGTTTCATACAACCTTCCTGAGGCTCCCTGTACCCCATGAAATCACCACTTCCAAATTTTGACATGTCATTGTGGTGGGGGAGGACATTGTGCAGGGCAGATCATCTTGAGATGCTAACAAGGGAAGCAAGTTCATACAGTGTTTTGCAGGCTCTGCTGCCTAGTCCAGCCATGTTCACAGAGAGGCCACCTCAGTCAGAGTGTGCTCACATCTTCAGAGAACCAGATAAATTCTTAACGTAATTTCAGTCAACTAGTCCAATGAGTTTTCCTTTCCCCAAGGGCAATTGCTGACATTTTACAAAGCACAAGGCCCGTGTCGCCAGCCAATTTGGGCACTGGGGAGGTCATTTCATGCCCCACACATCACCACCATACCCAGCGTCTTTTAAGTGCCACACCAGGGCTCTTATTTAATATTTTTTTAAAAATCTGTATTCTGCTTTTTTACAAAACTAAATTCCAAGTTGATTTCAACAATCAAATATACAAACCAGAAAACCAAGTCCACAAAAATACATCAAACCCCATAAAATACCAGCATCACAAAAACGAATGGATCTGCACCTGTCGAGGAAAGAGATGGTAACAACCTGACAGAGTAAAAGTGCACTCCTTTAGTTTGCTGGCAGTCATCTCCTTAAATATATAAACACATATATGCTTTCCTGTGAAAATTTTTTAAGCAAACAGCAGAGCAAAGAGAAAGCGGAAAGAAACTTTCTCCCATGTTGTGTTAGTTTTATACTTGCCGGGAGCTTGTGTACGTGTGACCATCAAAAGAGAGTGCCCCCACCAGAAGTTAGAAGTCGTACAGCCCACTCTGCCACATTCTTCTGCATGTGTGTGTGTTGCCATTGGTTTCTCCTGTATCTGCTTCTGATTTGCTCTCTATGTTTGCAAGTCTCGTCATTGCTGCAGCTTCCTGCAAGCCTTGAAAAGAGAGCCTGGAAGTTCAGGGCTGTTGTGTTTTCTCTCTCTCTCTCGCTCTCATGAGCAGCTCCTTGTATTGGCCGCCATTGCCTAGGGGAGCAGCGGCAACACAGGTTCTTCTTTTGTTCCTGATCACAGACCTGCCTGGCTTAGCTACTCCAGCCAAATTTTAAGGCAAGCCATTTGCAAGTGTGTGCATAGCAACACCACAATCCTATTGGAGAGAAAATAAAATCTCTGCATTGTTCATTCTGGAACAGCTCTGAAACCCTCTAAATACATGTGAAGAGATGGGACTTTCCAAGTGGGTCCCAGGTGTTTGGAGTGAGGAGTTTCAACTTTTTCTTCCTCTCCTCTACTTGATTGTATAAATTACTGATTTATTTAATTGTAGTATGTCTGTGTGTTTTGTAAGATGTTTTTAAAACTTATTTCTGAATTGTCTTCGGACCACCTTTTTATTTTTATTTTTAGCCTGCCATCCACTTCGTGCCCTTCCCAGTATGAAAGCCCCACAAGTAAACAATGTGATACTATTGCCTGGCAAGGGGGGGGGGGGCAGCCAGAGTGTGTGCCATGGAGGGCTGAGCATGTGTCAAAATTCTCAGTGGAATGAGGCTGTTCCCATCTGCTGGCTCTGATGTCAGAATTTTACAAAACTATGCAACAAAGACTTTCTTTCTCTGCTGTTATGTACGTGCAAAACTGCCATCCCACTCCCCCTTTCTCCTACCCTCACAGTGCCTTTTATGCTGGCAGAAGCCAGGTTTATTCAGATGCTGATAATAAAAATATTATAGATCACAAACATCTGACCGTGTGATTCTGGATTCTGGGATGGGATTCTGCATGGCCACTGCCAAGAATGGTAGCAATTGGAATTGGGAGAGGGAGAGCCAGGCCCAGCACTGAGTTGGTGGTCCTCAGTGGGGTCCAAGGGGTGGTAGAAGGCATTGTGCCAGAGGATACTTTTGGCACAGCCTCCTTTCCCCCAGTATTCATCAACTGCTCTGTCCCAGGCCCCTCTATCACCTTTAAATATGAACTAAAATAAATTTCTCCCTCAACCCTATCCACAGGTCTCTGCACCTTGTCATTTATTTATTTTTAATTATTTAATTTGAGGGAGACCCTTTTGATTCAACTAGAAATTCAAATAGAAACGTTGAATGGGGAAAACCAATGGTAGGGGCTCATTGTGAGTCAAAGGGATATAAAAGTAATGTTTTAGTTACTGAGTTTAAACAACCTTAACTAATAGTGTGATGTTTTAATTACATTTTTATTTTTATTTTTTTAAAGGACATTGTTTACATGAAATTAATTTAGTACATCGCGTTGGAAAAGTGCCCGAGTACTGGTCAGCTGAGCCTGGTGATTTTTTTGTGTTCATTAGCTAGGCAGACAGGAGCAGGTTGACTTCTTGATGAGCAAGTTGGGGAAATAATGCAATTTGCATTTAAAACAAAAACACAGAGAAGAAGTAAGTAGTGACTGTCCTTTTCGTTTAACTTGGAACACTGAAGGTGATCTGACTGGCAATCAGATCTTCCTTCAACCGTGTCAGTGGGGCAATGTCTTCTGCCACACCTGAGGGCAATGCGCTAGCTCAGGGATTGCATCTCTCCACACTTCTCCCTGGGCCCACTCCCAAGAACCTGCCTCCTGAGGCACCCACCTCACTCTGCCTAATACTATCGCTGGCCAGCCTTGCTCTGGTGAGGGGGAAGTTCTAGGCATAATGGGGAGCAGGAGGTAATGGGTGAAGCTGTTTTCAGAGAACCATTTTCTACTTGGATGTCCCAAATTTGAGTGAGCATAGAAAAGTGCTTGCTTCACAACTGAAGCTCTGTACAAACACAGCCATAAAGAACTGCCTGTCTGGGATTCAATATATGCTGTCTGACTTCAGCTTCCATCATCCCTAATCATGGGATTGCAGTCTGAAACCTGCTAGTAGTAGCTGGCTCTGGCACCGGCCACAAACCATCTCAACTCACCCCCAGTGTTTAGCTATCAAGACTCCCATGTCAATGTCCCTAAACAGATTCACAATCTGGCAACATGGTGCCTTGTACAGTATGTTTACTCAAAAGAATATGCCATTAAGTTCAATGGGACTTGAAGTTCAAGGTTCACATTGCAAGTGCAAAACAATGTGCAGTCTGATACTGTAAACCACCTAAGAGAAGTACTGCAGTTTGCTGTTGGAAGACAATATTTGGATGAAATCTCCAGGTAGAGACATCTGTCTGAAAGCCTGTAGAGCCACTGCCAGTTGGCATTCAATCTAGACAGTACAGAGGTAGATGAGCCGGTGGTCTGACTCAGAATAAGGCAACTCCCCTTGTTCCTAAGTAAACTCTGTTGCATTCAAGAGCTCCTCCTTTGCCACCTGCAAACCTATGCACCCTTACTTAGAGGAAAGCTCCACTGAACTCTGTGGGAATTCCTTCTGAGTCAGCATGCAAAGGACCTGACTGCATTGTTTTCTATAAATCTTGGAGATATATAGCTTCAGGGAGTTGGATTCTTCAGAGTTGCAATGCCACATCTCTGAAAGCTGACTGCAGCTAAATATTGTATGATTATACGTTTTGCAATAAATCATGAGGTTGCGCTGGAATCAGCCAGCAAGCATCTGTTAACTACGCTGAACTTGTTAGTTCCTTCTTCGCGTGCCAAATGCTTAATGTAATGGAAGTGACTGCTGTTCTCATTGTTGTTGTTTAGTCGTTTAGTCGTGTCCGCCTCTTCGTGACCCCCTGGACCAGAGCACGCCAGGCACTCCTGTCTTCCACTGCCTCCCGCAGTTTGGTCAAACTCACGCTGGTAGCTTTGAGAACACTGTCCAACCATCTCGTCCTCTGTCGTCCCCTTCTCCTTGTGCCCTCAATCTTTCCCAACATCAGGGTCTTTTCCAGGGAGTCTTCTCATGAGGTGGCCAAAGTATTGGAGCCTCAGCTTCACGATCTGTCCTTCCAGTGAGCTCTCAGGGTTGATTTCCTTAAGAATGGATACGTTTGATCTTCTTGCTGTCCATGGGACTCTCAAGAGTCTCCTCCAGCACCATAATTCAAAAGCATCAATTCTTCGGCGATCAGCCTTCTTGATGGTCCAGCTCTCACTTCCATACATCACTATTGGGAAAACCATGGCTTTAACTATACGGACCTTTGTTGGTAAGGTGATGTCTCTGCTTTTTAAGATGTTGTCTGTTCTCATTACACCTTGTCTAAAGAGAGTATTAATAAAATACATTTGGTAGACATTTAATCGTATGCTAATCTGATAGTTCAGTCATTGCTGATTGAAGTTTGGAAGGGATTTTGTTCAGGTTTCTCCCTTTTTTATGCTTCCTTCTAAAGTTTCAGAGAAAGACTCCCAACAGCAGAAAGTTCACAAGAGGCTGAACATAGACAAGTGCTGATGTTCTAATCTATACCTTTATCTTAAATCTACATGAGACCCAAATCAATGTAATAAATTATTTATTTATTTTTATGTTATTAGTACGCAGTTTATTTATCACTGTGCTTACATCACTGTAAATCAGAAATCTGTCGGGCACAGTCCTATACTAAATATGTGCCGTATAGGATATAGCAGAAGCTGGCATAGGCCAACAAGAGAGATTCACGAGCACATCTGCTCAGATACACCAGCTGAACACACCACTAGAGGAACAGCCAAGGTGAAGCAGAGACATGGGCAACACGAGGAAGCAGCACTTTCTTCAGATCCTATGCTCCCCAGAATACCTCTATCAATAGCACAATTTTATAATGATAACAGAACCGGTGCAAAGCATTTCCCTCCCACTGAACTCATCCCTCCTGGCCTCCCTTGCCTATGTCATAAAAGTACAGTAGGGATGGCAAATCTTATCAGCCCCAGCTGATAAGGAGGATGGAAGATATATTCCATCAACAGCTGGAGGGCCACTGCTTCCCTATCCCTGAAGGCTTAGCCAATCACAGCACACCAGCATCTAAATGTAAGTGCCATAACTTAGATGATATGGTGTGAAACATGGTTCTCTCTCTCTGGCTGGATGTTGTGAACACTTAGAGCACACAAGGGAGAACTCTGGCAATGGAAACTATGGAACAAAGGCACTTTGCAGGAAAGGGGGAGCCTAATACACAAGGTAGCTAATCTCCTTCCAGAACACTTTGGGTACATGCTAACATGTCCCTTCCTAGAACCCAAACAGGTAACTTACCTGGGGATTCTAGACTAGGGGTAGGTGAATATATCAATCTTGGCTTCTCTCGGCTTCTCATTTTCCCAGGCTTAAATTAAGTTCTCCACATTTCCACATCAGTTTACATGAAAATTCATCAGTGTTTTAACAAACATTTCTCTTAATATATTCATTTTTGTCACAATTTCAACTAATATACACTTTTCAACAAAGCAGTTTCCCCTCATATAATGCTTTTTTGAATTCACTAATATAATGTGTTTTTATGCACACTTAACCTCAATATATGCATTTTTATTACATATTACTTGGCTGGAGAAGTGCATTGCAAAATTCAGAGAAGGTTGGATTTTGACAGGTGGCTGTGTTTAGGTTTGCATCTTGTTTCAGAATATGTGAATTACATGGGTTTGCCTTTAAAGGCAAACTGAAGTGCATTCCTTATCCGTCCCTGCTCTAGACACAAACGCACAAAGGCAGAGCACTCTACCCAAGGAAGTAAGGGAAGTGGGAGTCATCCTGCGAAGCACAACTGCCTCCACCTCCTTGCAATATGTGATGACTGCGACTCTCGCTGTAACATTGTCTGCCACTCACAGCAGTGAAGAGCGGTGTCTCCCATACAGAGAAAACACTTGCCCCCACATACTGTAAGCTCTATTTTATCAGCAAAGGCTAAGCACTGCACTCAGACCACTGCTGGCCTGACACTCAGGAGGACTTTTGCCTTGCAGGATCACAGCCCAGACACATGCAACAGGACAGCTGCCCTTGCACTCTTAGTAGTGCCCCGCCTGCCTGGGTGGGAAGTAGAGTCCCAGCAACAGACGCTCCTTGAGCCCTTCTCTCAGGGAGGACTGGGTGCTCTTTCTGCAGACCTCCTGCCGCAGAAGCTATGTGAGTGTGGTGCTGTGTGCTTCCTCTTTCCTCCCTTTGTGTGAAGTGCAAAGTGCTTCACTATGGTTTCTTAATGCCCCCCCGCCCCCGCCTAAAAGCTCAGCTTCAAAATTTGTTCTAAGCCAGCCTTTCTCAACCTGTGGGTCCCCAGATGTTGTTGAACTACAACTCCCATCACCCCTAGCTAGCAAGGCCAGAGCTCAGGGATGATGGGAGTTGCGTGGTGAGTTCCCGCCGCCCCCAGTGGAAATAATGACACATGACAGAATTATTAAGGTTAATGGGCTAAATAGGGCCACAACTTTATTGGTTACAGGTGATGAGCGGTATTGGCTTAGGCATTGGTCCTAACCGACTATATCCGACTTCAGCCCGTCCGCTTGAAGTCCGGGATGAGTTAGCCACCATTGGGTGAGTCCTGCTGATGCACATCAACTAGGAACTCTCCCGGGGTCACCGATAGGGGGCGTGCCTTAGGCCCTCACTTCCCTAGGCTTCGGACAGGGCCACGCCCCCCGGAATCCTTTATTGGACTACCCTTCAATATGCGGGGCAGGTGATGGAGCTACCTCCCCTCTTTCATCTACAGAACAATACCAATGCTTAACCGCCACTCAAGTTGTAGTCCAATAACATCTGGGGACCCACAGGTTGAGAACCGCTGTGACTAAGCCAAAGGCAGGGAATCTGTATCAGCCCACAAGCT